AATATTTAGGAGAAATCTGAATGACTCTTACTGCATCAGAAGACTAATCATCTAGAACAATCAAATTATACTTGAGATTAATCGGTCAAATGGAAACATGATAAACTCGAATCACATAAACATTGGCAAGCCAATTGGGAGTAGATTGAAAGAGTACCAAATAAAGTAGTGATTCTTTTATCTTAAACCTCAAGTCCCATATCTAGCCACATAAACTCTGGGAAAACTGAGAAATGATAGAAAGGAATTTTACCAAGATTTATGAGGCCAGTTTATCAAAGAAGCAAAAACATTGCTTCTACTCCTCTTTGCTCAAGGAGCTACTTATTTCTGAAAGTTACTCTGACATTAACAAGGTCTTTTTTATCTATCATCTATCTATCTATCTATCTATCTATCTACTATCTGCTATCTAGGTTTACTATCTACTTACTTATTTTTTAACAGATAGGGAAAAAAAAACTGTTGATATTTTGATTGAGCTCTCCCCTGGCCATAAGCGATGTCTTTCACAGAAATTTATCTTGGTTACAGGGATGCGATTTTATCTCTGCTCCTATGTACGTCAGCACTTCCCAATAATCCACACCAGGAGGCAGCTACTGTATTCCCAGGTCACCAAAGCTCCTATTTCCAATAGAAATCCCCTTCTCTGGTCTTTTTCTTTTTTCAATCACTTTTCAAATTTTGCTGCCATTTTCTCTTTCTCAGTCCAATCTCACTGAAGTAATTAAAGTAACTTCCACCTGCTTGGAACAATATCTAATAACAAACTTCACTTTTATTTTATTTTTATTGACATACATAATACAGTGGTGTCAATAAAGTACACTGATTTTAAGTGTACAGTTCTATGACCTCTATCAACACTTGGTTAAAAGGGATTGCTAATGGTTAGTCCTCAAACTTAATATATCTCTCCATTTATTTAGATATTTGCTTTCAGCAATAATATGTAGTTTTTAATTTAGAGGTCCTGTACAACTTTGTTAGAACTATTACAAGATAATTGATTTTTTCCCTTGATAGTATTGCAAATGATATTTAACTTTATTTTCAAATTGTTTGTTACTAGTATATACAAATACAATTAGTTTTTCTGTATTGACTCAATATCCAGCGACCTTGATAAATTCACTTATTAACTCTAATAATTTGTTTGTACATTCTTTTCATTTCTTCATTTACATAATCACATTATATACTCATAAAAAGAGTTTTACTTCTTTTTTCCCCAAGGTTATTGAGATATAATTGACATATAACAATTTGTAAGTTTAAAGTATACAACGTGTTGATTAGATACACTTAAATATTGTGAAATGATTACCACCATAGCGTTAGCAAACACTTCCATCACCTCACATAGTTACCACTTCTTTTTTGTAGTGAGAACTTTAAGACTTATTGTCTTAGCAACTTTCAAGTATATAATACAGTATTGTTACTTTTCATTTTCCAATTATTGTAAACATTATTTCTTTTTCTTGCCTTACTGCACTGGTTAAGACTTCCAGTACTATACTGGATATTAGTGGTGATTGTTGATAACCTTATTTTGCTTGTGATCTCAGGAGAGGCCTATATTTTATCATTAAGCATGATGTTAGCTGAAAGATGTTCCTATCTCTTGTTAGGTTGCTGAGAGGTTTCTTTCTGTTTTTTCTTAATGTATTGGTGTTGAATTTTATGAAAGTTTCTCTGTATCTATTGAGATCACCTTATAATTTTCCTCCTGAAAGTTAACATACCAAATACAGTGATTTTCAAGTCCTTGTAATCCTAGAATAAATTCCATTTGGTAATGATGTATCACCTTTTTAATATATCACTGAGTTAGTTAGATGATATATTTCAGGATTATTTCATCCATGTTTCTGACAGATCTTAGCTTGTAATTTTCCTTTCTTGTAACATACCTATCAGATTTTGGTATCTGAGTATGCTCGCCTCATAAAATGACTTGGGAGCATTCCCACCTCTATTTATGAAAGAGTTTGTGAAAGATTGGTATCATTTTTACCTTAAATATTTGAAAGGATTCACAACCCATCTGGGCTTGAAGTTTGTTTTTTAGTTTTTTTCTCTTTTTTTTTGGTAGAAAGGCTTTTAGCTACACATTCATTTTCTTTTATAACCTTAAAAATACTCAGATTTATTTGAGTTTATCAATTTTATTAACCTCACAAAGTATAAATTTGGCATTATTGTCTCTATTGTATGTCTGCTTTCTATTTTATTCATTTCTCTTCTTATCTTTATTTCCTTCCTTATGTGTTAAAATCTTCAATGATGAGAGCGAATTTAAGTTCTATCAATTATGCTTTATAAGTTTTGAAACTATGCTTACAGGTACACAAAAATTTAAGATTGTTATGTCTCTCTGTTGAATGGATCTTTGTCCTTTTTCTCATAATATTTCTTTTCTTAGAGTCTATTTTGTCTGATATTAATATAGCTATACTGATTTTCTTTTGTTAGTCTTTGTATGATACATTTCTCCCTTCTTTATCCTTATAATCTATCTGCTTCTTTATATTTAAAGTGTGTCTCTTGTAAACAGCAGATAGTAGATCTTCTTTTATTATGTAGTCTGACAATCTTTGCTTTCAGTCACAGAATTAAGGCCATTTACATTTAATGGAATTACTGGTATAGTTGGGTTAAAGTTCATAATGTTGCTGTTTGTTTTCCATCTACTTTATCTGTTCTATGTTCTTTCCTTCACTTAGCATTATATCATATAATGTCCCATAACTCTACATTGATTTCATACATTTTGTTTTTAATGGCCCCACAATAGCCCATTGTTTTGACCCACATCTTATTGAATGATTAGCTATCATTTATTTCTTCTAATAATTTTGCTATTACAGATAATGCTGTGCTGAACATCTTTATATACATCACTTTCCACTTTCTGTATTATTTCCTTTGGGTATATTTTTTAGTGCAGAATTACTGATTCAAGGGATAGAAACATCTTTATAATTCTTAGTACAATTTGTCACCTTGCTTTCCCTAAAGAATTACTCCAGTTTATAAGGTTGTTAGCAGTGTGTAGCTATAGTGATTTCATTGCAGTCTTGATAGCATTGTGAGTTCCTTTTTGAATAAAAAAAAAAGTATGGAAAAGACCTGAAGGGGAATCAGAATTATGATTACCAATGCCACTGCTGTGTGTAAGTAAACAGAAAAAAGGAAAGCCATTTTCCTGAAATGTGTTCATTTCAGCTACAAGCTGGACTAAAATTCCAACTATTCTGCTTCTATTTTGCACACACCTTGGCTTTGGCAATAGCCCCTGTAAATAACTTTGTAAAAGAATGCATATTTATGACATAATATGTGAACTGGCATATACTTTTTATTTGAGTCTAATAAACCTATAATTCACAAATAAAACCAAAACAGGTTTACAGAATCAGAGGAAAGAGAGGAGAGAGAAAGGAGATCCAACTGAAAATATGCTTAAAAGCACAGTGAACACATGTTTCTAAGTTACATTTAAATCTTATCATGAATAATCTCCAAATAGAGTGGCAGCATCACTAAACTTAACGGTCATTGTTTCCCCAGGTAGGTGATTGTGTTGAGGAGTAGTGGAAAGGAACTCTTAACATTTTAATTACTTTGCAGAACACTTAAGGTGACATTATCTCATTTGAGCACAAGTACCCTGTAAGGCACATATTTCTAATTGTTTTGTAGAAGAGGAAATTGGGATTCCCTAGAGGTGAAATGATTTACCTAAGTTCACATAGTTGAAAACTAGCAGAGTGGTGACTCAAACTTATGTCTTAGCTTCTTAAGCCTGTGACCTTTTCAATATGTCTAAGGGTTACTTTCAACAACTGTTATTGAAATGTTAATCTACCACAGAGTTCTTTATTAGAAAATATTAATGAAAATGACCATAGTGAAGATGAAAACTTTTCCAAAGAATTAAGACAAGAGATTTATTATAGCATGATCTAAACTGGCATAAAATTCAGGAGATTCCATCACTGAAAGTGCTATAGAAACTCAGTAAAATCCTATCTTCTTGACATTATAGCCCTATGATCTGGACCCGGGATTTCAGTCTTAGAACACACACACACACACACACACACACACACACACACACACACACACTCACACACACACACAAAATAACACCAGAAAGTAAAATAATGGTAGAGTAACAATGTCATTCATACTCAGGAGCCCTCTGGGTCTTCACACTAAATATCTAGTTTTTGAAATTTAAAAAACAATGCTGTGAAACTTCATTGTAGGAGATGGAAACTAAAAATTACCTTTGATTAAGCAAATCTATTGTTTTTGGCTAGTTATCTTCCCCTAAAACCACATCTCAAGTCTTTACTCAATTCATGACAAACATTAACTAGCCTATTATTAAAAATAGAAATATTTCAGCATGTTACTCTCAGGGTAAATACCTATAAGCTGTCTTTTGAAAGTTTTTCATGTCCACAAATAATCTCATAATTTATATTGCCCTACTGTTTTAGAAATCAGTACACTTATGCACACTCTCAATCCTTCTTAATCATATTATTATAAAACAAATCTGAATCTGAATAAAGCAAGATATATAAGTATGGATCACATTGGTCATAATTTTATCATCTTCCTCCAGTAACTTCACATTAATAATTTTTTTAAAAACCTTATATCTAAAAGAAGTAAATATGATCCAAAACATGAAGTATTTTATAAATCTCAGGTGACTCTTATAAGTATTTAGAACCAAATAAGTCTGTCCATTCCTTGCTCCTAATGTTTTAGTTCCATGTGCCAAGGTAGCAAAATGAGTCCTTCCTGGAATTTTTTAAATTATATGAGCTGACAGCTGTATGCAATCAATCTGATTCAACCAGCCAAAACTAGATTTCTTTCTCAACCAACCCCTGAATGTAACGTTTGTGTGTCTTGGAACAGAATGAGTTTTTATGTGGGAAAAAAATAGAGTAAATCTTTTATTTACTCTCCAGGAGGTATTTGGTTACCAGACCCAGAATCTACGCAGAGCTCTCTGCCTCATAACATCCGTGCTGACCTGTGGGGTCCTTCTCCTGTTATTCTACTGGAAGCCTCAGTGGAGGGTATGGGCCAACTGTATCCCATGTTCCTTGCAAGAAGCAGACACTATTTTGCTAAGGACAACGGTGCATGTCCTTCTGTGTTTCATCTATTGCACAGCCTGTGATGGCCAGCATTCCAGAGTGGATCCTCCTCTATTTAAGTTTCCCTGTCCACAAATAGGAGATGGCAAAACTATCTCTGCCGTCTCTTTGCTGTGTCTTATTTTGACTCAGGAATGAAGGGCATTTCCTCCACATCAGCCTGGAGAAATTTCTACCATGTCAGGCTCATTGTGAGAGCCCTTAGCCATTACATGAGCAGTGGCTGTCCGTGTTATAACTCTTAAAGACATAACATGGGAATGATTGTTCAGTTTTTCAGAAATATGTATTTTGAGGAAGTTATACATTTTACACATCAAGGTGTGATTTTAAGATAGCTGGAAACTATTTTCTAGATATAAAGTTTCTTGCAAAGTGTATCTTTCTCTTTATTCCCTAGCACAGTGGTTCTTAAATTTTAGTCCAAATCAGAATTACCTGGAAGGATCTTTAAAACAGAGACTGCTGAATATTGGATCCAGTAGGTTTGGGGTGAGGCTGAGAACCTGCATTTGTAGCAGGTTCCAAGATAATGCTGATGCTCTTATCTGCAGCTCAAACTTTGGGAACAACTGGTCTACCACTTGGTAGGTATTTGGTTGATTGAGTGCTTTATTGAACAACATTGGAGAATTTATGGGCTGGATTTTCTTCTCTAGGATGAATTTCAAAGACATATGAGGAAGAAGGTAATCTGCCTCTACTTATCCACACTGAAGTTTCCTGTAAGCAAGAACCCAGAAGAACCCCTGCTGGCTGACTACCACTCTGTCATAAACCAAGCCATACTGAAGCCAGAATTAAAAGTAAGTGATTTTAAGAGTACAATGTTATGGCATGTTTTTGTTACAAGAAAATAATGTATTTATTGGATGAAAGTTCTGAAAATCACACTGCTGGGCTGGGAATTACAGCTACGTATCAAGGAAAGTGAGAGCTGCATGTAATAGACAACCGTCACTTTTCTATTACATTTGTAATTGCATTTGCAATGTATCCAAGTGCAGAAAATCAGGTATGTTTGGAACCACTTGGAGAAGAGGTTTCAGAAAGTTGGGTAAGTCCGAATTTTCCTCAGCACTCATCAGGATCTACGGGAAGAACACTGATTTGTTAAGTACCATGAACTGAAGTACGGTTCCTGTCCTGACCACACCCTAGGTTGCTGGAAGATAACAGCACCTGCTACAACATCCATCATACGTTTGGACTGGGTCTGACCGGTGGAGAACAAGAGGTCAGGTGGGGTTTGTGGTACTCCTGGAGTAAACTCTGCCAGCAGAAATGGAGATACGACATCGCTTATGATCAGTGAATTGTTGGCATAATGTTTCATCAGCTTCATATAACCCCAGCTCATTTACTGGCATCAGAGAGATGTCGTAACTTATTCTCATCTTAGGCACACTAATTAAAAAGAAAAGACCGAAAGAACAGTACAAGCAAATAACATTTGATCTTTTCTCTCAGGATTATAGAACAGTATTCTCTGTGTTGTCTTTTCTTTCCTCAAAAAATCTTGAGTCATTTCATAAACATCAGCATCTTAATCCTCCAAATCCTCTGAGAGACAGAAAGACAATATGATGATTGCATTTTACTATGGAGAACCAGCCCTGGAGAGAAGGATTTTGTTTTCTCAGTTAATTGTGTCATTCACCACTGTTATTTACAGAACCTAGAACAGTGCCTGATTCATGGTAGAAGCTCAATAGATATGTGTGGAAGGAATGAATAAGTAAATGCATTCATTGATCTGTGAACTAAACTCTAATATGCCAGGCGTTTCGCAAGGCACAAGGGACCTAAGGATAAATAAGACTTAGTCATCGTCTCAGAGACATTAACTGACTGGAAGGAAAGAGAGACAAAGAATAGTGGTACAATTATGAGAATGAGATCTATAGATGCCAATAGATTAGAAAATCATAGTATAATAGTAGCACAGGAAATTCTTAGGCTCCTTGTTAACTCACAGTGACCTAGAGTCCCTGCTTCCCTCATCTGTAATTTGAAATGGCGAATCCTGGTGACTGAAAGTAAACCATTGCAAGCCTTCCCAGGAATCTTAATAATCACCTTCATTTCTTGCCCAGTTTTAGGGACAAGAAGAAGGATGTGCCTGACCATCTTCACAGTTAGTCAGAAACAAAAATTCTCAAGCTAAGAAGTAATCTTGTACTTAAAATACAGGTTCTTGGGTTCTTCTCCATAATTCTGATTTAGTAGGTAGAAGCTGGGGTGGTGGTAAGAAAAGAAACTGCATTTTTAGCAAGCACCCCCATAATTTGTATTCACACCAAGCCTGCGAGCTACTGATCTGTTATTGTTTTCAAGTCTTCCCTCTGACTGAACGCTATGCAAAATGAACCAGGCATCTAGATTATGACAATATTACAAAGTGCCTTAGAGATGGTATCATTATATAAGATTTCAGATACAATGCTTAAAACACTGAAATACAAGAAGTTTTCAAAGTCATTAAAAACATATTGCTTTAATAGCATTAAGCACAGGACATTTAAAGGATTGATCCATTTAGGAAATCTAGTTGATAAATATAGATATACTCTGCCTAGGAAACCGTTTCCACAGGAAAGATTTCCCATCGTGTAGCTACCTCATGTTTGTCCTTATTTATCAAGTGCCAATCTTTAGTAAACATCATACATAATTAAATTTAAATCTGGTCCACACAATAAAGAACTTGACAATCTAATAAGCAAGACACAGAATATAGTTTCCCAAATATGAAGACTAGAGGAGACAATCTACTTAGAATCATAGAGCCACATTTTATTTTGTGGGTTTTTCTCTTTGGAGAGTAAAGAAAGCAAGTAGAATATGGAGCATTCCCCCGCTCCCCCACCAGTTTTCCCTTTTATATTTTAGTGTAAGACTAAATGCTTTTTTCAAAAATTTATTGTGATTGATTAGTTGGTTGAATGACAGCTTATCAATTTCCTAAATCAATTCGAGCTTGCTTGCAGGAAAAGCAAGGACTCAGTAAAAGAAATAAAGGAAGAGGGATACACAGAAATCTCTGATCATAAAAAGCCACAAAATCTAAACACAACTTCCTCTTTCAGGCTTCATAGCAGCAAGGCAAAGAGAAAATGCACAGATGTTCATAGTCTCACTTTCCTCTAGCAAAAAGCAAATCAAGACATCAGCTGTGATAATTTTACTCTGGAGAGAAATTGCCAGAGGGCATCAGGAAGAAAGCAGGAAAATTATTCCAGGAGGTTCCCTGCCCCTACCTTCATTCATTCATGAACCGAACACAACTTCGCATCTTAGTGCCTGTCCCAGACAAGTCCATAGACACTTGGGGTAATTCTCTTACCGCAGGGAAACAGGGCCCTATGGAAAATACACACTTACCTCATCCCTCATTCATCCAAGCTGTCTTCCTATTAGGACAGTTTTTAAGTTGAGTGACCCTTCATCTTTTCACTTAGCCCACCTTTATTTAGCTTATTTACCTTTGCCTCCTTTATTTAGCCTCCTGAAGGAGAACTTTCTGGCAGTAGAGATCTAGGCACGTCCTAATCAGGGGTTAGCTCCAGACCAATTGCCTTGTTGGTAACCCAGAACTCCAGAAGAAAAAAATTTTGGTGGCTAAGGTTTGCTAATGTCTCTAATGGGAATACTCCAACCATGGCTGATTTCAGTGTGACATTGCTGAATGTGGAGCTGTGAAAGTGATACTCATAATTGGCTTGCTGATTCTGCAGGACCAAACTTAATTCTCAACACTTGTCACACCACTGAGAAAAAAGGCATGCCTGTTAGTACCAGAGGAAAGAAATCTGAGTGACAGCAGCAAAAGAGGGTGGATTTGCCATCAACGCTTCAGCTCCAAGCTGGTGGAAGCTGTTCCAGGAGAAGAGAGAGAGAAAAGAAGCAAGAGGAAGGCGGGGGAGAGAGAAAGAGATTTAGGGCTGCTACGAAACCCTTTTCTCTTACTCCTCAGGTCTTGTGGGAAGCAAACGTCAGAAAAGAAATTGTGCCTATAGACCATGACCTTTTCCCCTTGGAAAGCTCCATCCTTAGAATACAGCCCACATATAGATACTCACCCATCAGATCAGTTCTTTGAGAAAAGAACAAGGAAGGTTTGGTTGGAGTAGAAGAGACAGGCTTTACTCATTTCTTCTGGAATCCAATGAGATTGTCTCAAATCTTAGCGTTTGGTTAGAAGTCAATAATTTATGTAAAAATATAACCCATGGTTCTATGGCTCTGAATCCACTCAAAGTATAAAATCACTTAACTCTAAGGCCTTGTTTCAGAGCAAAACCTTATGGCAGCGCGAGTAAGCCTAAGTCCTGGGTCTCTCTGGAGATCCTGGGATTTCTCCATCCCCACCTCCCCCCAGATGCCCTCTTGGTCCTCTGCTTTCTGGATCTTCATGCCTGGGAATGCTCCAGGCACTTTCCCCAAAAAGCTGATGAGAAGCACCTCACTTAGCTCACATATAGGGCATGAAACCCTGCAAGAACTTGAGGTTATCTGAAAATGTGCTTTAGGAAATGAAATAGACAGGTCACAGATAAGAACTAATGTGAAAAAAGAAAATCATTTTGTCATTTGTAAAACGGATCCTCTCTGTACAAATTATAAAGTATAGAAGCAGGTTCAAGTACTGCTAAAATAGGGAATGTTTCCCCCGAAAGCAGTTTCTCGAAACATGCCTATCTTGTTATTATTATTATTTTTTAATGGGAAGGCTCTAAGACCAACATACGTGTTATACTCTACAACCATACCCAAATCCCAGAAATTGGGTACCGTTTCTATGCATCTGTGAATTTCTTCGCTCCCCCTTCCTTTAGAAAGTGGGTATGTTAGGGGAGTGAGGGATTAGCTAGCAAAATCACCTCGGAACTTTTTTCAAACTCTAATAAACCCTCTCCCTAAAAATTCCACAGTTCATAGAAATGGGTCATGCCAGAATTCTCAGGCTTAGTATTAACTGTTTGGAAAACCACAGGCCTCCCTCCCTGCCAAGGACTCTACTGGTGGCTTATCAGAATGGAAGCCGAGTGGTCACATGCAGTTTGAAGATGCTCACCAGTGATTCTGACATGCTCCTCCTGCCTCTTTGAGGACCCCCAGCCTAGTCTTCACCATCTGGAGCCTAAAGGGCCTAGCAAAAAACATATTCTCAACAATTATTTGGTGAATAAATGGATAAATGGATGAATGAATGAACAAATCATCACATTGAAAAGAGATAGAGACCATCGCCAAAGAAAATATTCCTAGTCATTCATGCTTGGTTTTTCAGAAATACCTTCCAGCAGGTTTACTAATATCTCATGGTTGCAAGAAACCTCAGTGCTCCCTCAAGCACAGCTCCTAGCCAGTGCAGAGATGCCCTTCATAACTTCCCCTGTTAAGAAATCCTTCCATCTCTTTGGAGAGGGACCTTCTACGTCCGAAGCAATTATTCCCCTAATGAATGGTTCTGAATATTAGGCAAGTCTACTTAATTTCATTCTGACTATTTAGTTTTGTGAGGCCACCTGGAATAATTCTAGGGCTTCTTTTTCCCCTGCCAGCTCGTCAGATTTCTAAAGTCAGGGCATGTCATCTCCTTTGTTCCTTGGAACTTTGCTCATGTGACCCAGCTTCAAACCTCATATTCCTTCCGGTTGCTCAGCCATTGGTCACTGTCCCTGAAAATTCTGCTTGGCCTGTGCTGAGATTGAGATGAGTACACAGTTCCCTAAACATGCAATACTTTTTGGCAAGAGACAGTGGAATAGAAGAAGTAGCAAGGGGCATGCCTGTCTGTGATTCAAACATGGCTGTCAACTGAAAAAAGAACGCACAACCTGAAAGTTGAGAATTATGTTTATTTGGCGGACATTCTGAGGACTTCAAGCCAGTGAGACAGGACTCTCAGGTCTCATGGAGGTCCATGCATGTTGCTGCAAATGGCATTATTTCATTCTTTTTTTAATGGCTGAGTAATATTCCATTGTATACATGTACCACATCTTTTGGACTATTGTGATGATCAAATGAGAGAATCTTTTGTAAGAACTTTGTAAATTGTAAATTGCTATGCAAACACGAAGGCTTCTTTTTTTAAATTTTTATTTTATATTGGAGTATAGTTTATGTACAATGTTGTGTTCGTTTCAGGCATACAGCAAAGTGATTTAGTTATACATGTACATATATCTATTCTTTTTCAGATTCTTTTCCCATATAGGTTATTACAGAGTATTGAGTAGAGTTCCCTGTGCTATACAATAGATCCTCACTGATTTTCTATTTTATATATAATAGTGTGCATATGTTAATAGTGTGCATATGTTAAGCCCAACCTCTTAATTTATCCCTCCCTGAGGGCTTCTTATTGTAATGTACATATGTGTGGATTTACAAGTTGTTAGCCGTGAGGACCATATACCATCTTGCACTTCATTGGCTCATTCCTTCATGTATTCATTGAGTTCATATGCTAAAGACCTGTCCTAGGTGTTGGAGATACCAAGGTAAGATAGACATGATCTCCAACATCAAGGGCAGTCTAGAATGCCTGAGAATTCTAGGAATATCTTCATATTTGTGTCTTTTTAGCTGCTCTTAGAATATAATCAAATTATTTTTTTAAAAAAACTCAAAATGCCTTTCTAATTTCATTTTGATTCTTGAGTTGTACTGTACTTAAGATATATTTTAACCAGAAAAACAACTTTGTCCATCATGTACTAACTTTCATTTAAAAATATATTAGTATTTTGAGATTGGCACGTTAATTTTTGATTGAAGACAAAAAGTCCCTAAAGGGTAGAGAAGGGACTCCTGCTTAGAGTGGTCTGTACTCACTTATTAATATGAGCATGTAGCTGTGACACTAACAGATGATCAATCTCCTACAGAAGATTAGTGTGGGGGTCAAATGCCATTGAGGTTGAAATCCAACCCACGTGGAAGCTGCTTGTTAAACAGGTAACTGTTTTCGTTTATTTTTGAAAATAAACTCCTGTTTTTTCCTTTTTTCTTTCTAGTACTCAGAGAAATCGATGTAGACAAAAGTCTGTGTTTTGTGCAACTTTTTTTTGTTATTCCCGGTGACTTTAGTTTATGCGTTTCCTGTCTATTGAGGTTTTCTTTTTTATTATTATTTCAATAAATATATATATATTATACCAGGAATTCTAACTGGCCCTTTTCAATAACCACTTGTTTTAAATTCAAATCCCTTCCCAGTGTGAGGGACAGATTCCCGTTTCATACTCTCCTGTTTGTTCGTTTTGTTCTTTTCAGTGTTTTATGGTGGTTGTGATGGGTGGGGGGAGTGGGGAGGGTTGTTATTATTTCATGATCTCTTTGAGGATTGAGAAAGGATTATTTTGGTCTTTTTCATACTGTTCTATCACTCTATTATATCCATTTTCTTGAGAGTGACTTCTTCCTTGGTTGGTGTTTTTGTTTGTTTGTTTTAGAATATTTTCTCTGTATGCTTTGAAGTTATTGCTTTCGGTAAGCTCAGCTTGGGTGGGATTTTCCCTTCTTCCATTTCTCTTCCTCTCTGTGCTCACTCTCCCTTTTTGGTGGTTCTTATTAGTCTCCATGTGTCCCCAGTTCAGAACTAGGGCCTGTGTTGGAGGTTTGTGTTCTGTCCCTTGGGGATCTGTTCGATGCAGGCCCCGAGCTAGCTTGGGACTTGGCCAAGTTCACAGCTGCATCACCAGCTTGTCTCTCCTATTCCTCCCTCTGCTGGTGAATCCTTGCTGGTTGTGACTTTTCTCAGCCTCTGCTCTGGGGCAAGGCTGGTTTTGTCCCCTGCCACTTGTGGGACGCTTATTCCTCCTAGCATTGAGCTCCTAGTCATTGATCTCCTGTCCTTGTATGAAAACCAACAGACTGATCAATCAGTCCCCACTCAGTGCTGCATGTTTCTAGTCTATTTCTAATCCACAAAGATGGTCATTTGGGTTTTTAACGTGACCATTTTTTAAAATAATTTTTTTATTAGCCTTTTTTTAGAGCAGTCTTAGGTTCACAGCAAAATTGATTGGAAGGCACTGAGATTTCCCCCACACCCTATGCCTCCACATATGCACGATCTCTCTTACTACTAAAAAAGCAGGATGCTTTTTAAACTTCTTATTCAAGTACATTTTCAAATTACCAAAGACTCTTTCAAGTGTCAATTTAGTCTATTTTGAAAAGAGTGTTAATATTTTCTGGCACTTATGAATTAGGCCTTTAGTAGAAAAAAAAAAGTAAAACTATGTCTTCACATTTGGTTTCAAAAGAATATTGAATAAGGGAACTAAATTAAATGGTGTTGTTTCTTCTGCAAGAAGTATTTAACCAATTTTCTACTGAGTTTATACAAACTCGAAATCATATTATCTCAAATGTGTAATATACAATTAAAGCATTTTATGCCAAGCAGACAGAAGAGCTATAATTTGTAAGAAAACATGTTGCAACGGAAATTATAAAAACATTAAGGAACACAAGCTTCTTTAATGTACAAAATATATCCAAGAGTTTAAGAAACTTTTAAGATATATCCTATTAACTTATTAACCAGATGTCAGTTCATTTTTAGGACTAAGGTAGAAGTTTATTTAATATATTAGAGAATTATAGAAAGTAGAGGTAAGAAAAAGCAGCAGTGGTTTTAGGTACTATTTCATCTAATTCATAATAATTATGAAGAGCACTTCATCAAGAAAAGAATCCTTGCTTTGCTCAGATGGACTCTTTATTCAAGCTGTGTGTAGGTCATGTGACCTTCTCTAGCTCCCTGGGGTTTGCCCTCTCTGCTATTATTATTAATAGTGAAGTCAGCACGACCAAAATGGGGACAGTTGAGGGAATTTAAAAAGTTGAAGATGTTATTAAGAGACCAAAAATACCTGCACGGATGACCATCTTTGGGGCTGGTGACAAATTCTGCCCATGATTTTCACTGCATCTTTGGATAAGACGCTTCCCTTCCCTGGGTAAGACCTTCCCTCTTTGTTCAAGGGAAGGTCCATGCTGACTCGACTGACTCTCAGAGGATCTTACTAAGACCTGTGACATGAGAGTATGTTATTTGTAAATGAATGACCTGGATAAAAGTGGAATCTTTAATTTTCATTGTACAACTTGACTACATTGGCAGCATGTGATTACATGAAAAAGAAACCTGCAATAAAAAGTTCAAAATTGAAGTTTGTTTTTAAAAGAGTCTGAATCATGTGTCTTCTCCATTGTGGGTACATCTGTTTAAAAAGGTAAAATGTTAGATTTTGTTATTGGTCAAATATTTTTGAAAATTCAAAATAAATAAGAATGATCAATTTGTGGGCATGGCTCTGAGTGCTTAAAATAAATTTGCTTCTACTATATCACATTTTATGTGCTTGACATTGTCTCTACTGAAATTAACAGAGTTCTAAGTGAATTCTATTGTTGTATGTTGTAAAAATGGAAGAAAAAATTCTATAAAGAAATGACATCATCTTGACTGCCGCTATGGTCCATGCAAGTGACCCAGATGCTCTTTTCATACCTTCATAGGTTTTAAATCTATGCTACGTGTTTCAAGCCTTTACCCTCACTTTGTGGCTGTCTCAGGGTTACATCGAATACTCAGTGGCCATCATCATCTGCTCTCTCCATTGTCTTAAGTGTGTACGATTTGCGACAGGTAAGAACAGAAATCGTAGCTGGATTCTATTTAGCTTCTAGCTGCACAAGAAGCCAAACCTATGGCCTTTCCACTGAAAGCAAAGAGTTGCTTTGTTAAACATAAGTCATAACAAAAGAAAAAGCAAGGGCTTACTAAATACGGGACCTCAGGAGGAGGGCTTCAGGAATGCTAGGTAGATTTAAACATCTTTGCAAACTCTTATTATCAACTGATGGCTGCACTGAATACAATGTTTAGCAGGACTCTGAGGCTGTGTCTGAGCATGGTGGGAAAGAAAACAGTGATGGATTAATGATGACAGCATAGTACCTGTCCGTCTCTCTTACTATCGCTGTTCATCTTACAGCTATTTAAAATCCTCCTTTTAAAGAAAATCAGTCTTATAAATGGTATAGCAACACATTTAGAAGTGGAATCTAGCTGAATATTACTTACCACAGCCCTTCTGAATCTCATTTCCCACAGCATCTTTCTAGAAAATGTTCTACTACTTTGCTTAAGATTCATCAGGTTAGGGCTTCCCTGGTGCCACAGTGGTTGAGAATCTGCCTGCCAATGCAGGGGACACGGGTTCGAGCCCTGGTCTGGGAAGATCTCACATGCCGCGGAGCAACTAGGCCTGTGAGCCACAACTACTGAGCCTGCACGTCTGGAGCCTGTGCTCTGCAACAAGAAAGGCCGTGACAGTGAGAGGCCCGCGCACCGCGATAAAGAGTGGCCCCCGCTTCCCACAACTAGAGAAAGCCCTCACACAGAAACGAAGACCCAACACAGCAAAAATAAATTAATTAATTAATAAACTCCTACCCCCAACATCTTCTTTAAAAAAAAAAAAATGCATCAGGCTAAATTATGAGGCAACATCCAAAGGGCGTCTCACTGTATTTGTTGTATATTTTTGAAAACTTGACTGTGAAATTGGCTTTTTAGACACAGGGAACAATGGTACCTGTATCCACCTGTCAACCCTATTGAACTGTTGAAATCACCTAGTTTTCTCAAACTTTATCCTTCATCTAGAGAAGAGGAAACTAAGATTTCCAGGGGAAACAAACAAGGGAGCTTGTTCAGGTCATAAAGTGGGTTTGTGACAGAGTCAGGGCTTCCGGCTCCTCATAAATGAAATTCTATTGCACGTGCAATATTTCCTTAGCAGAAAGCACTTTCCAAAGTAGCACATAGCTGGGGAAGAAAGTCAAACCTACGTGTGAGAGGAGAGCTGAATTCTAGCTATCAGCAGAGTAAAGTCTGGACCCATGTCAGTAAGGCAGACATGGAGGCTTTAAACAAGCCCAACTGAAAGAGATCTTTTGTTTTTACTCTATTTCAGTCACTCAGCAAATATTAGATCTAAGGTTGGCTTTTTGTCTGGTTTTAGATGCTACAAATTTTGAGCTATGAAGTGTTTGATGAGAAATGAAAGAAACGCAATATATATTTAAAGAGTTAGAAAACAGGACCTAAAAATGAAAAGTTAAGTCAATGGAGACACTTTGAGCTAGAGAGTGAGGACTAGAAGGGCTTTGTTTTATTTATTTATTTGTTTGTTTGTTTGTTTTGTTTTTTTTGTTTTTTTTTGCGGTATGCGGGCCTCTCACTGTTGTGGCCTCTCCCTTTGCGGAGCACAGGCTCTGGATGCGCAGGCTCAGCGGCCATGGCTCACGGGCCCAGCCGCTCCGCGGCATGTGGGATCTTCCCGGACCGGGGCACGAACCCGCGTCCCCTGCATCGGCAGGCGGACTCCCAACCACTGCGCCACCAGAGAAGCCCCCTTGGCTTTTTCTTTTTTAAAAAAAATGAGTGCCTAGTGCGTTTCTTCATGAACAAACTTAAATCACAAAAATATTGACAGTGATCAGTAACCTGCCTCTGATGGTGGCAATTCCTTTCTGTCTGGCTGCCAAGTCAGGGGGCAGAGTGACTGTCCTTCTGGTGAACTCTGAGCATTTGAACAAAAGAAGGAAAATAAACACCAGGACAATAAAAGATCTGGCATTTTCTGCTCGGCCACAATAGGAAAGAAATTATCGTGTCCCAAACGTTTACCTTTGTCATTTGATAGAGGTATGTAACGTGAAGGCCCCATATCAAATTTCTAGTTCCTGGGTTTTGAGAAATCTTTGTTTTAATAGAATATCTAATTTGATACCTACGAGCCACTCGTATGCTTTCTGGCTGATGTCAAACCTCAGTGAATACAGGTCTTCTCCCATGTGCTTCCCTCTATTGGGAATACATAGACACACAATCACCTGAGTATATCATCGCAAACCATCTCAGGGTTCTGAGGAAAAATACAGAATGCTCTGAGGACTTTGGCAGGGAGATCTTATCTAGTCAAGTTAAAATTCCCTGCTCACTACTCCTATTTGTGTTACTTGACACTATTTGTTACTTGACACTTTAATGGTCACCTTCCTTATTTGTAAGATATGTGTGTTTGTGTTCAATGTTATGGTCAAGAAAAGTAAATGAAACAATGCATCTGAATTACTTGTGTTCCTGGTACCTAGTAGGCACTCATCAAATGTTACCTTTTGTTACTGTTACGGCTGTTGCTGTTTTTATTACTGTTCTTGGAGTAGATTATGGAAAGATGGAAGGAGGCACAGAGATTGAAGGGAGGAGGGATAACTTGAACAAGAAAGTAGCACAGGAACATCCCGGGACAGGGCTTCTAACCACCACTGACTCATTTATTGTGTGGCTCTGGGATCTCTTTTCTCCTCCCTGGACTCACTTTCCTCAGCTGTAAATAGTGGAGGTTAAACTCTGTCTCTTTAGGTCCCACCTTTTTAGGGTTCTATCATTTTGCCAGGGCCACCAATAAGGCATGAAAAAAGGGCTCTTGGAAACTTTAAAACACTCATAAGAAACTTTCTGGCCACTGGGAATGTGGGAGCACGTTTTGGAGACTGGAGTCCATTCCTACAGGACCCTATTAATTTTGCACTAACTAGCCGCATAGACTATTCGGTCAGGATGTGGACAAATAATAGAAACCTGTTTAAACCCCCTTAATCACAACAGGGATATGGATTATAAATATGCACCAGTAGCTCACGAAACCCAAGAACATGAAGTACAGATGGACTTTACTGGGGGGCTGGACCCAGGAACTTGGGTTACTCTTCCCAGCCTCCTATTCTCAGACAAGTATGGAACGAAATACAAATATTCTGGGGCAGTGCTCCACCACTACTCCTCTCCTCTGAAAACTGGGTGTACCCAGAGCCCAGAGCTGACAACCCACACCTGGTTTGTTCCATGTGGCTTTCTCCTTCCACTGGCACAGCTAGTTGGAATAGGGGGCACCCGACCAGTGGAAGCCAATCCAACAACAGGCGTGATGGCAACGTATCTTTTTGCCTGAGATCCTGGAATAAAGCCTTGAAGCTGCTGGTCATACTCTGTTAGGAAAATGATCTGAAAAATGACGTATAGCTAGGACCAGGGTGACCACTCTTGATCCCTGTGTATGCACAAGCAAAGAAAAAAAAAAAACTTCTGCAGAGAAAGAGAGGAAAAGAGTGAACCAAATACACAGTGAGACACAGAGGTGAGCAATACACAGTCCAGCAGAGACAGGGTCACCTGTTCCTCACAGCGTTTTCTGTTCCTGTTCAGGAAACTTCCTTGGGACACTTGGCTGTACTTCCCACCCTTTGGTTCCTTCCTAAGACATCCCTGCATCCTCATATATTCTCATCCTCTGCTTAAAGCAGCCTAACAAGTTTCTGTTACTTGCAGTCAATTTGTCCCAAGGAAATGTGGTGCTACTGTTTGATACATTATGCTCCCCTAGCATGTTTCCACCTATTTCCCCTGACTTAGATATTGTCTCTGTCCTACACAGTATCCATCTGTATCTTTATGACAAATTTCAGTCTCTCTTTTAAAATTCCTTTACAATGCCCATGTCTTCACTTGGAACTCAGGTATACCTTTCTTTAAGGAAACGCCAAATAAATTTAGAAATTCCTGGGGAGGAGTAGGGGAAGTGTTGTAGCAAAAGTTAGGTTTGATCCTATAGGCCAGAGGGCAATGTTTCAGTGAGAAAATTACTTGAGATTCCTGAGTTCCTAAACTCTTACCTATTAAATCAAAATATCTACAGAATAAGAGGAATTTACACTTTTTAACAGTTTCATAACAGGTGATTTTTATGCATTCTAAAGGCTTAATTAACAGCTGTTGTTACAGAGGAACACACCAAAGGCAAATTCAAGCACAAAGATCCCAAATATATCTATTTATTTATTTATTCATGTCATCACCAGCTGAACGTATTTTTCACTCTTTTTACTCTATCAGATGCACAGAAGTACAAGTTTATATGGAGATTTATTTAGGTATTTATTAATTTGTTTTATCAAAACAGAATTGTCCTGTGTGTGTTTATCTGGAACTTGCATTTTTCACTTTACAATATATATAATGGCCATCCACCATTATAAACAAATAATTCTAAATCATGTTTCAAAATAATGATGTGATATTCCATAGTATACCATAATTTATTCAAATATTCTCCTCTTTATGGAAAATAAGGGGTTTCTTCTCCAATTTTTGCCACCACAAATATGTTGAATTAAACATAACTACAATATAGGGTAGCCTTACATATTAGTGTTTGCAACTCTTTTTTCAGCAAAACAATCAAAACCAGGTTGCTGAATCAAAAGATATGTATGTTTTGGATATTAATAAATACTGTAATATTATTTTCCCCAAATGAAATAATTCATTCTCCTATCAGCAACATATGAGAATATTCATTTTCCCAGATCCTCACCAGCATTAGGTGTTATAGCTCGACATTTAAAAATTTCAATCCAATACTTCTTTTTAATTGCATCTCATTGATGTTTTAATTTACATTTCCCTGACTGCTAGTGAGATTAGACACACACTTTCCTTTGTCTGAAAGAGATTTGCATTTTTATTTACTGTCTGTTTATATCCATCATATAGGTGAAAAAGCTTTATTTTTTAGTCTTTTTTCTCTTGACCTTGACTTTTGCTAGCTTTATAAAATATGTCTAGTTAAATATGTTTCTTTCTCTTTATGGCTTCTGGGTTCCTTGTTTAGCTTATAAAGTTTTCCTCTTCCAAAACTGGATATTCTTTTTTTTCTATTTGTAATTTTCTTAATATTTATTTTAAAGTCCTTAATGGAATTTAAACATGCAGATTCTACACCTTAAAGAATCCCTGAATGTCTTTACTCAAAATAATGACTGGCACGAGAATTTCAGACTTGATGGCAATATTGCAAAAGGCTTCTTTGAAATGATGACACTAATTCCATTAGCAGTTAGCATTTGTTAATAAAACCTTATCTGACCCAACCTGCAAGGCATCTTGTAACACTATGCAAAATGGGCCAGTTTCCTGAAACTGTATCTTTGCAATTTAAACCAAAAGTCCTCAACAATTAATATCTGTTTAGCACTACAATTTGCAATGGACTCTGACATTTATAATGAATGTGCTTGTATGAGTCTTGGCAAGCTGTGAAATGATACACATATGATATATCCTCCCATCACCTGAGAGGGAGGGACAGGGCCAATCAGGGATGTAAAGTGACCTGCTCACACTCACCCAGGAACGGCAGCTGCAGACCTTAGTCCCAGGTTTCCTGACTCCAAGTCAAGTCTCTGTGCCATTGAGCAAAATCTCAACGTAACCTGTGAGCTTCCTGTGGCAGTAGATGAGGTTTCAATAATTTTATAACAGAAAGTAGATTTGGGGAGGAGGGCTGGCAGGAAGGGAAGAAAGAGCACCTACTGCCATCTCCAAATCATGCTAAATAAATACATGCTTTTGAGAACTGCAGGAGGGGAAGTGTTGGCAGAAGTGGGATAAGACATCTTATCCCACTTATCATGCGTCTACTCTAGCCCCAATTCATGTCGCAGAGAGAGGTTAACCTTGCCTAAGCCAAGAAGCACCCCGTTGCAGTGCAGTCCCTTTCTGCCACGTTTGGTGCAGGTATGAGTGCAAACCTTGGCGCTCAATTGCATTTCCATTGAACGGTACTGGCTCCACGGGCGGCTGCTGGCAATAGCGCGGAGAGTATCTGGCCTCATTCAGGACTGAGCTGGGCTCAAGAGACACCTGAGTGAATGCCCTCATTACTCATCTCTGGAGGAAATCCAGCCAGAGCAAACACAAGGACACACAGCAACAGATACCAAATAGTAACAGTATGCAAATTAGCCTTGGAAACGGATCCTGGTCCCACCGAACAGGGACTGGAGAAAGCAGAGGGGGCCTAATGAAAATCAGGCAGCGAGCTTCGAAATCATGGCAAGCATCACAGAGCTGGCTTTCTCCTAGCTGGTTGGTTGTCATAGAAACCTGTGTTTGTAGAGTTTCTGAGTACATTAGCTCAAAGAGGATGCTTATATTATCCTACTGTAGTGTTGCTGGGAGAAATAGAATAATTCAGTTCAATTAAATAAATATTTGCTGAGGATCTGCTACATGATACACCACAAGGGATACAGATAAATACATAGTCTCATCCTTGAACCTCCTGACTTAGAGGGGAGACCTGACAAGAAAACAGATAGCTCTAATGGAATGGGATCTATACACTAATACAGGTGGAAGCACAGTGAGGAGTACAATTAATTCTTCCTGGGGGTGTTAAGGACTTATGGAGAGGAGATGACATTTGAGCAGGGCTTTATGTGAAGGATTAGAAAGAGTTGGCTAGTAGAAAACAGGGGTAAACATCCCAGGGAATAGCTCGAGTGAAGGCACAGAAGCATGGCAGTTTACACAGAATGCTAAATCTGATTAAAAAATCCAGCTTTCTGCCATCATGAGTTTTGAGAATTACAGTCAAGCATTATTAACTCATACTTCACCACTTCCAAATGTGTTATCATCCTTTTAAGCTAAGTTGAAATTGTATGACATTGACTAAGAGAGTTTGCTAAGCAAGAAAATAACTTAAAGAAATTTGTAAGGAAGGATGTTTATCTTCTTAAAGGGCAAAAGCTGCTTTCAAGCACTTTCAGAGAACATATTCATCAACGGAAAAGGCTTTAGAGTCAGATGAACCTGGTTTTATTTTGACTTTAATACTTAGTAAGAAAATGATTGTGGGCAAGTTACTTTAACATTTTCAAGGCCCTGTTTTTTTGTTTTTGTTTTGCTATATGTACTTTGGAGGTAATATAGCATTTTCATCATAAGATTATCTTGAGGATTAAAAAAAAATCAAGCCATACATTCCAAGTGCCTAAAATAGCACCTGGCACATGGTGACTGAATAAAGTTCTAAACTGTTTAAAAATAATAATTTGAGTCATTTGTTATACTCTGGGTATTTCTTCTATGAAGCCTTGGGGGTTTTGAATAAATCTCTGATATGCAAAATAAATCATGTCATTTTAGAGCTTGAAGGGAAGTTGAGAATAATCCAGTTCAATGTTGTCTGTTTACAAAGGAAACGGCTAACTTATAAGGTGAAATGTCTTATGTATGGGTATCTGGCTAGTTAGTGGGTAAGCCTGACCCACCACACAGGAATCCTGACTGAATCCAGTGCTGTTGCTACCAAACCGCTTTCTCACTGTCACCCACCATTTAAATGAATGCCCCAACAGGCGAGCCTCAAGGAGTCAAGTTAGGGCAATGAATACGTGCCCAATATCACTTCTTCCACTCAGCTGGTCCAAATAATTGATGTTTAGCTTTTCATGCAAAACTGAAGTAAATAATAAATAGTTCTATATAAATATTAACATTGAACTCATTGTGTTCTCTCGAGAGGAAAGATGCGTAACTGTGTGGAATGCTTGTCTAAGCCTGAAGAGATTTATAACATTAGACATCATCAACAAAACAGATAAAAATAATTTAACATCTAAAAAGAAGTTTTACATTTGAATTATGTTAAGCTGTGTCTAACCATGTTGACAGTATTCAGACCTCTTTTACTTAGAATTATCTGAGTAACTGACATCCATGCAGAGAGGGGCAGTGCTTTCCAGGGATGCCTCGGCTGGTCCAGCATTGTACTCCCTCTGGCTCGTGGCGCCCCTGACAGTCAGTTTAGAGAACTCTGTGGACCACATCCCTTCTCACCTCTGTTTTCCTGTCCCCTAAATCATTCTAGCAGATGCTTCCTCCACCTCTCCAGGGTGCTTCCATTTCCTCTGCTTTGTCAGGGTCCTATCTTAGTGAATTCCACCTCAAGTGAATTTTTCCAGCTGATGTACTCAGACAACTGTTTTGTTTTGTTTTTTAACAACAACTTTCTTATTAATCATCGACACTCACTGAGCTCTTACTATAGTAATGAATACTATCCAAAGGGTTAAGTAAAATAAGATAAGCCTTAAGTAACTTAAAACAACCATATAAAATAGATACTGCTGGGGCTTCCCTGGTGGCGCAGTGGTTGAGAGTCCGCCTGCCGATGCAGGGGACACGGGTTCGTGCCCCGGTCCGGGAAGATCCCACATGCCATGGAGCGGCTGGGCCCGTGAGCCATGGCTGCTGAGCCTGTGCGTCCGGAGCCTGTGCTCTGCAATGGGAGAGACCACAGCGGTGAGAGGCCCGCGTACCGCAAAAAAAAAAAAAAAAAAAAAAAGATACTGCTATTATCTCCACCTTTGGATGAAGAAAAGGGAGTTATACAGGCTAAATAACTCATAAGTGGTAGCACCAGGATTCCAAACGGAGCAGCATGACTCCAGGCTGCAGAATTATCCAATGTGAAAACCCACCAGTTCATAAAGGAGGCAATGGTTGTTCCACTTGCGATCAAAATACAACCTAAATATTCACAGGCTCTTACAATGGAAAGCCACTTCCAGTTCATACTCAGCTTTGCTTTCTACGGACAGGGCAACAGAGGCACAGAGAACGGGAGTGGTCTCGTTGCTTTTCTTCCATCTAATCATGCATCCTCAAGAAAGGAAGTCTCGGTTCCTTGGCTTGAGTCCATGTGGCAGTGACTGTGCATCATCTTTCTTGGGATTGAAATAGCATTAAACTAATGAGCATATTTGCTGCTGTAAGTAGGGAGTTGAGTGAAGTAAGCGTTGAGGCGGGGGAACGGGAGCATGGAAAGTAGACTTGAGTCTTTCCCCAGAGTCAGTTTGGCTGTGACAGTAGGTTCAGCATTTACTGTATTCAGATCAGGTGGTTTTCCAGATATGGAAATATTAGATAGTTAAACACTGACTTTGAATTTGTAGCAATCAGTTAAGCTGCACAACCTTGTGGAGGATCACAACGAAGTCCAGGTTACAATCATTGCAAAAAGGCAAAGGTAAGTGATGGGTTCTGCCATCGTCAGCATCCTGGTATTCAGAGTGGAGTCAGTCTCATTTGTTTTATTGGTCAAGGAGAAAAAGGGTTTTCTCATTAAACTGAGGACTGGAGCTAAGGTGAGGTAAACAAGGCATCATAGATGCAAATTTTAAGGAGGCAAGGTCATGAGAATGCTGGCCTGTACCTGCGGGAGCCTGAGTGAGCCCCTCGTTGAATTCTGTACCCTACGTACCTGGCATGCCTCACCCTGGTCCCAGCCCTGATTGAACCATTTCTGTCCAATGTCTGATTTATTTCAAATTCCTTCTGTCCTCCGTATTTCACTCACTGGAATGTTACTGGGTAAGCCTTCTTAAGGTTTTGTGATTTCCCCTACTAACCATCCCAAACAGACCTTGCATCATATATTTCAATCTCTTATCTGGAGCCCAGGCCTGCATAAGGCTTATAGATGGCTGGCTGGACATTTGGCATTGGCTCTGAGTTAGCCTGGGCTGGGGTGGCCATGACTCTCAGCAAGGAGTAGCTGCACTCCTGGGCAGCAGAAGTTGGTCTGGGGTGTTTACATAGGCCCCAATCCAAGAACAGATTGTGCTACGGGGTGTGGGGGGAGTGGGGAGGACGGTCAGGAACCCAACCACAGAGAGTAAAGGAGCAGCAAAGGGGCATTCCTTCATTGACCAAGGCCACCGAGTGCCTTCGGTGGGCAGAGCGCTGTCTCAGGCACTGAGATCAAGATGGGACGCTTGTTGCTGAGCAAATCCTTCGCCATGGCCCGGGTATCAATTCCCTAATCCTGGTTCTCTGGGAATCCGCAGTTGAGTGGAAAGGGGCAGGAGCAGGTGAGCATGCAAGGGTAGTTCTTGGCCAGCAAGTTGATAAGAGTTCCAGTTGTTTTTATTGTTAAGTATAAACAGGAAAAGTTCAGCTAGTCATGTGAACTTGGCCATTGTATAAGTTTGCAGGAGCTAGAGTCCCGTCTCTTGGTTCCCGGAGACATTCTTATTCTTCCAGGAAAACTTTCATTGCCATGCGATGCTGCTCTGATTGATGGAAGCTGTGTGGTGCATGAAGGCATGCTCACAGGTAGGCAGTTGTCACGAAGCTTCCTCTTCCCTTCCAACAGCCAGGCCAGATGAGCAAAGTAGTTCAGTGTACACTTACCTGCTTTATACCAAGGCTAAGGTATTGAGAGATAGATGAGGAAGACACACCCAGACTATTCATGCAGATGGAAACCATATATGCAAACAGGAAATGTTTAAGGATATAGGAATCAAGACACACGAAACTAGAAGAAAAGACTTCTACAACATGGGATCAGTTAATTGCCTGATGAGTGGGATGAATAGGGTGCTCTGAGTTCAGAGGAGTGTCAGAACATCATACTGTTTGATGCACAGTCTCTTCATAAATATACGGATAATTTATACTCCTGTACAAACAAAACACAGCCTAAAACCATCACCTCACAATTGGCAGGAAGCAGAGATTTTATCCAGCCCTGTACTCTGTAGATGGAAAACCAAGCCCCAGCTTTCAGTGGGAAGGAGATTGAACATTCCAGAAAGGCAATAAAATAGTTCTGTTCTCTAGAATCATGTTTCCAGTTGATCTCACTGAGCAGAAAACTGGTTTTCTAGTTACGGTTTGAACTATCCTTGTCCTCATTTATACTCTGTACAGTCCATTTGAATTTGGGTAATTAGTAAGGCATTATTTATAAAATATTCTTCAGGCGAAAAAGAAAATACACAGAGCATCTTAATGAGAGAAGGAGAAACTATATGACACCACAGAAATAGAAAGTATTGGCCTACTGTGCTTGCAGATTATTGCATTTTTCTGTTTCCAAACGGTGTAAAGACAGGAGAAAAAAAAAAACCCACACACGCACAAAACTTTTTTAACATCACCTGAACATAAAGAGAGGCATTCTCTATTCCTAAATTGTTCAACACAAGTAGATTTCACATGAAAAAATGGGTCTGCTTAAATTAAAATTGAGACAGGAAAATGTAGTAAACATAAATATGTTCAGTATAATTACAAAATACCCCTTTAATGTGTTAAAATCTAACTGCCTTGTAATGGCAGTGATGAGAATTTGCATACTGAGCATATCTTTCATCCAGAATGCTGCCATCGTACCCTAAGTATAAACCTCAAACCCGAGAAAACTGTGCTCTTCACTCAGAGGCAGCAATTGTCTCGTATTCCCAGCAGCCTGCCAACCAAGAACAGCACCCCTCACGGTGACACAGAGCATGGCAGTGAGAAAACAGGGGAGGACACACAGCAGGGTTTACTGCCCTGGGTCTGCTGACCTGGGCGACCGTTCTTGTCCTGATTCTCATGAAAACTCAGTGTCTCAGAGAAGTAGGAACGGTAAAAATACCACCTTTTAACAGATGTGCAAAGTTGACCTAAAATGACCTCAAATGGTCAGTGGTCTTTCTGAGGGTCTATTTCAGGAAACATAAAGTCACCAGCATTTATATATATGTAACCTAAGTACTGATCAAGTCAATTTTAGAAACAGACACATAAAATGGAAATACATCTATTTCTTTCTCTTTAACTTCTTGAAATAGATCTAAGTGCCAACATGCTCTGAATACTTTCTTACACATCCTGCCTAGATCCTCTCACTCACGTATGTATTTGTGGAAAGGATCCTGATTGAGCAATCAAGTTAGGGTTAGATTCCTGAAACTACAACTGTATTTCTGGGCATGTGTCCACAAATGTGACTCAGGTAGTTCCCCATGTGCAAAAATAGTCCTTTGCATATACAGAAGTCTTTATTTATGTAGGAAGAATAGCAAATACTCCTAACATCTCTATAGCAATTTATATTTTTAGAAGCAACTTTTATACCTCACTTCATTGTAACATAAAACAAATTAGACTAGGAACTATTATAATACCCCATCTACAGATAAGGAAACTGAGGTGAAAAGAGACCAGGGTTGCTCAGTTAGTGAGAAAAAAGTCAGAGTTAGAGGTGACATTGGCTTTCAGACATGAGGGACCGTAGGCGTGAGGACGATGATTTGAGGGTGGGTTCAGCCACTGCCTTTGTGTCTCATCACCTTTTCCTCTCTCCTGGTTATTCCCATTCATGGCACATACCCAGTGTGGGATTTTTCCTCCTCACCTTCATAACCTCATCCTATTGTCATGAGCTCGGCTGTGCAAGAAACTATTTTACACTTCATTTTTATTTTGGCTCCAAATTTTGGCCACCCTTGAAAGTATGCGGTGCGAAGTATCTGGTACAAGTCAGGTGTCCCCATCAATTAGCAGGACCTCCCGACTCTGGTCTGGCTACAGAAGTTGCATAAGGCACTGCGGAGGGGCATCTGGTCTGGGGCTCACTCCTCTTTCTGTTGCCTCACACCACGTGGCCCTTGGGAAGCATCCAGGGCTTATCTACCTGGAAAAGGAGGCAGACCCAGGTGAAGTTGCTCTCGGTTTCTACACATTTCTAGAATGTTTCCGTATCCTAATTTCGTCTAGGCCCCTTCTCTCAAAGACACACGATATCTAAGTTTCCTTTAGATTTTCTTCCAACTCCCAGTCCAGGGTTTTGTTTTGTTTGGTTTGGTTTGGTTTGGTTAGGAAAGTAGTAGAGGAAAGGCATGGTGAACAGAAAAGCTTTGTTCTCACTCTCAGGTGGTCGCTGAAATCCATTATCAAATTTATGAATGACTTTTGAAACTCAAAAGCTAGTCCTCTGTCCTTTATTTCTGCCTCCCGAGACAGTGATCCCCTTCAAGATTTAGCTCCTCACGGAGGGGTCAAGAGGCATAAGGGAATACCTTATTGCCTTACAGAGGGGCAATTTTGTCTTGGTAGCAATAGCTAATTTTTCTTAGTTCTCATATGTATATGTACGAGGCACTTTGCTAGCATTTTACATATGCTATTTCATTCAAGCTAAAACTCTATAAAGTGGGAGAATCTGAGGTCCAGAGAGGGTAATTTATTTGCCTAAGGTCACACAGCTTAAAAGTGGTGGAGCTGAGATTTGAATTCATTTGTTTATTCATTCATTCAGTCAGTCGACAAATGTTTATTAGCCCCTACTATGGAGCAGACGCTCTACTAGGTGCTGGGGATACAACTGTGAACAAGGCAGATTTCTGCCCACATGGAGTTGACACGCTAGTGGGAGAACAGAAAACAGGAAAGTAGGTTAAGTTTCCAACAGCTATAAGTTCTATGAAGAAAATAAAACACCTAAACCCAGGCATATTGTCCCCAGAGCCTATGCTTGAAACTGCTCCTCATTCTCTTGGGGAAATTTATGGGGGAGAGGGATAGCATTCACTCTGCCACAATCCCTCCCTTCTCCCTCTACCCATTAGAGTTAATGATCTATTTGAATAGTATGTACAGAAGTATGTAGTGATCTGAGTTGGACACACAGGAATTTCCCTAAGTGGTTATTTCACATTTATATCCTGTCAGACAAGCTTATAATCAGTGGATAGATCAGATCTTTTCCTCTCTTCCTTTTTCCCTTTCTTCCTCTCTCTCACTCACTTCTTTTTTTTTTGCAGTACGCGGGCCTCTCACTGTTGTGGCCTCTCCCATCGCGGAGCACAGCCTGCGCAGACGCGAAGGCTCAGCGGCCATGGCTCACGGGCCCAGCCGCTCCGCGGCATGTGGGATCTTCCCGGACCGGGGCATGAACCCGTGTCCCCTGCATCGGCAGGTGGACTCTCAACCACTGCGCCACCAGGGAAGCCCGGTAAGCCTTTTTAATAGCATAGCTTTCTCAAGGAGCTTAACCTCACTCAAGTTTGAGCATGTACATTGCCTAGAAATTCTTGTGACTGTCTTTGCCTCTCCCCCACTCAACACACAAACATCTCTATGCCATCGCTGAGCATTGTAAGGAGGCCACCCAACCCCAGTTTCATACCTGTGTTTGGATCCTTTTATTCACAATGTTTTAGTCTCCCCTATAAGCCCACAGTGCTAAGATCCCAGCATATCTTACAGAAAAGACCGCACGGCTCATAACAGAATCAGAATCTCAGCACCAGAAAGGACCTCAGAGGTCACTTATCACAACCCTTTCCTCTACAGCCATGACAACTTTTCAGAGAGACATCCAAATGAAACCAGACATCGTGAAGCTTAAAGAGGGAAGTGGAGATCCATTCAGTACACAGCTCTGTAAAAGTAGACCTAACCTAACTCAAAAGGGTTTCCTCTAAGTCCCATCATTCTGAATCAATGTCATCCAATAGAGCTTTTTAGGATGATGAAAATATTCTATATATCTACACTGTCCAACTTGGTAGTCCTTAACTATGCATTCATTGAGCACTTGAAGTGTGCTTGGTGTAATTGAGGAAATGAATTTTCAGTTTTATTTCTTTTTAATTAATTTAAATTTAAATAGCCACATGTGATTAGTGGAAATTATATTGAAAGGTGCAGCTATCAAAAACTGCAAAGTTCACGGCTCGTTTCACCACTTGGATGGGAGAAAGAGGTTACTGCATGTGTGGCATTTGTGATATCCAAGGCCAAATAGCTTCAGAGAAAATACATGTTTCTCAAGCCTGATAGGATGGGGAATATTCAGTCAATCAGATCAGAAAGCAGGAAGAATATACTAATTTGAGTAAGCAAAATGCAAAGGAAGAAAAAGCACACAGAGTTCCTGGAACAAGAAAGCAATTTAAAGATAAGTCTAGCAAGTAAGATTAGATCAGACTGCAGGGGATCTCAAATGCCATGCCTAGAAGTTTAGACTATTTGAGAGTGTTGAAGTATGTGAGTGTGTACATCGTCCAGGGAATACCCAACATACCATACAGTCAATGAGTTGCCCTGTGTTCTTGTTAGGTTCTGAGATGAAATTAAATGTCTACTTTTACAGAGCTGTGTACTGAATGGATCTCCACTTCCCTCTTTAAGCTTCACGATGTCTGGTTTCATTTGGATGTCTCTCTGAAAAGTTGTCATGGCTGTAGAGGAAAGGGTTGTGATAAGTGACCTCTGAGGTCCTTTCTGGTGCTGAGATTCTGATTCTGTTATGAGCCGTGCGGTCTTTTCTGTAAGATATGCTGGGATCTTAGCACTGTGGGCTTATAGGGGAGACTAAAACATTGTGAATAAAAGGATCCAAACACAGGTATGAAACTGGGGTTGGGTGGCCTCCTTACAATGCTCAGCGATGGCATAGAAATGTTTGTGTGTTGAGTGGGGGAGAGGCAAAGAGAGTCACAAGAATTTCTAGGCAATGTTCATGCTCAAACTTGAGCTCTGCACAGTCATTTCAATCTGAAATTAGCTCCCAGGGAGCATTTCTAGGGGAAGGGAGGGCAGAGGAGGCCAGGGAACGTTGGCAACGGGAGAATGGAGCTTGGAAAGAGGGAGGCAGAATGTCGAAGCCAGTGGGGCTGGAATTTGAGGCAGTGTGCCAGTTTCATCTGGAGAGCAGGAGAACCGAGCAGGAAAACCAGCAAAAAGCCCTCTCCTATGGACCAGGAAGCCCTGGCAGTGGATTGGGTATGAAGGTTTCTTGGGCAGGACCCAACATCCAATACACACCAAAGCAGTGTACTCATTGCACACCCCATCTTCTTGTAGGTCAGAACCTGTGGACCTGTTGGATGCCTCTATCTGCACTGGCTCAGCATTAGGCAGGGATGAGTCCTCAGGGTTAAAGCTCCTCTGTGGCTGGGATTGGGAAAATCAGGGAATGATGGATTTTGCAATAAACTAGAATTGGCCCAAAGATGTATCTAGTAGTCATTGCTACTGAACTTGAATCTGTGTTTCCGATACTGAAAAGAGAACTTTATGGCTAAAATTACAGTAATGTCATGAAAACCTAGGCAAGGTTGTAGAGGGAAAGCCCTTAATCAACAGAGCATGGGAACATTAAGTAACCTATGATTTGATCTCGGCCCCGCCGTTATTAGTCCTGTGAGCCTCGGTAGATTTGCCTGGAATCCTGACTCCGTGAGACCTGGCTTGATAATATGACATGCCAGTCACACATGTGTGCTCTCGAGTTGAATAGATGAGGGTCTACATCCTCACCATTTAACCAGCATGCGGCCTTGGGAAAGCTGTTTAGTTTTTTAAGTCTCCGTTGCCTCTACCATTAAATGGAGGAAGTAACAGTATTTACGTCACAAGATGGTTGTGAGAGGTAACTAAATAGTGTATGTACACAGTGCCTGTCCCAGCGTGTGTGTCCAGGGAGAACAAGCTATTTTTATTATTGGCTTCCCCAGAGCAGTTGATATACGCTGAGAAGTTGGCAGAGTCTTGGTCTTAGTTTTCATCAGGTCACCACGCATTCAGTGTGTGTGCTGAGCACCTCCTCTCTGTCAGAACTGTGCTAGGCTCTGCATCTGGAGATGAGTAAGATGAATTCCAAGGTGACTTCAAGGATAAAGAAGGCACGGCTTCTGCGCCCAAGGAGTTTGTAGGCTAGTGGGGGAGGGAGATTCATAAGCCTACAGTCAAGCCACGTGTGACACGTTACAACTCAAGACTAGGCCCAGTGCCCAGAAGTCCAGAGGCTGTGAGGACATCTGATGAGCAGAGAAGGGGTGGCACTCTGGTCGGAGGGAAGGCTCAGTGGAGAGAAGCAGGGTCAAGGACAGTAAGACGTGAGGTGGTGATCCGGGGTCTCCTTTGTTTTGTGGTGGAAGACAATTAGTTGATTCCTCAGGCACAGCCAAGAGAACCATCAGTCCCACCAAGACTGAAGCTTATTCTGAGCTTCTAGAACCCCAGTGGCGCAGCAGGAGATGGTGCCAGGAAGGGTTCTGGCCCTCTCTGCCAGGCCAACCTGTATGCCCCTCCCCTCCCCAGGTCTCTCCAAAAGATACTGCAACCACGGCCCTGCCCCTCCTCTCCATGCTGTCCCTCCTGTGCTGCCAGCCGCCCTCCCTGACCACAGGCATCGTGTATGCACAAAGAAGGCTGAAGAAGAAGAAAATCTTCTGGATCTCCCCGCAGAGAATCAAAATGTGCAGGCAAATCAACCTCGTGTGCTTTGACAAAGCACGAGCTAAACTTTCCAGGTTGGAGGTTAAAGATCTCTAGACATAGCCAAGCTGGGAAGCCTGTCTAGCCCAGCACCCTCGTGGGACAGATGGGAACACGGAGGTCATGAAGGTCACACAGGGAGCTAGTGTGAGATCACATTCTAGAAGCCCTCTTTCCTGAGTCCTGAGGAAGTGGTTTAGCCATCACATCATGAATTTCTTCCCTGTCAAATTTAATATTTTCGTGCCTGTTTTGGGATTCAAAACCGTCTCTTACTGTAATAACTTTTCTGATTGACTACATTTTTTCAGGCAAAACTTATGAGGAACATTTCTTTCTTTTTTTTTTTTTTTTTTGCGGTACGCGGGCCTCTCACTGTCGTGGCCTCTCCCGTTGCGGAGCACAGGCTCCGGATGCGCAGGCTCAGCGGCCATGGCTCACGGGCCCGGCCGCTCCGCGGCCTGTGGGACCGGGGCACGAACCCGTGTCCTCTGCATCAGCAGGCGGACTCTCAACCACTGCGCCACCAGGGAAGCCCGTGAGGAACATTTCTGTTCCCCGAAGTTCTTTGTCCAGAGCTTAAGCGAGCATATTCCTTTCTCCTCCGCTGCTTCTTTTTAGGAAAGGGAGGGAGGGAGCTGCCACCCGTGTTTACCCACTCCGGCCCCTCTTTTCTCCTTTGCTTCACAGGGTGTCAAGACTCAGGACTGGGGCGGGTTGCCTGTGCTTAGAGCCTGGAAAGGTGGCAGAAGGGGAGTATGTCCAGAGAAGGGGACAGCTGTTATCGGACAGGCCCCAGGACCCCTCTCCATGGCTCTCCCACGGGGGACCTGGTGGGGCTGTAGCATCAGCCGCCTCGGCTCGGGTAGCAGGTTTACCCACTCGAAGGCAGGGCACCTGGCCTGGTCCCTCCGTGTCTTCGGTTCATTTGTATGAGAATAATTGATCAAGGCCTTGCCACTTTTTCGTTAACCCTCATTGGCAGAGAGTGCCGTTAATGAGATGAGCTCTTGAGAAGCTCATGTATAGCTGAGGAAGCAGGTAAAAGGGATAGACGATGAAAATGCAGTGAAATGCGTGCTGAGGAGGGTGTGAGCCAAGCATTGGTGGGCAGTTACCTGTCACGGGTGGGAGGTCACCTCTGAGCTGTGGCTTTGGTTGTCAGACAGAATGGGCCCCATGGTGAGTAGCCCAGCAGCACAGGGATGCCAGAGCTGCAGCAGGCGGGGGGCAGGACCCTGGGTGGCGAGAACGTGGCTGTGTTGTGGGGATACAGCTGGAGTGGAGGAACCCAATTGCTCAGGGCATGATGTGCTAAGCTAAGGAGTGGGGCCTGGTGGTGCAGGAGAATGGGAGCCCTTCTCATTTTTTAGGAAGATGGTGATATCTCTATAGGCATGTTTTATTTATTCCATATGGGGAATTGGTGAGAAAGGATGAAAGGGAGCTAAGACTGAGTCAGGAGGCTACCGTGGCACAATGGAAGAGATGGCTTCTAGTCCTAGACAAGGAGGGTGGGAATAGACAGCAGAATACAAGCTGGAGAGACGGTCCCCAGGTGGAAGTGGCATAGCTCTTCCATTAGTTCAGTTCTATTCTTTTCTAGTTTCCTTTGACAAAGAAGGTCCTGTGGGGTTAACTTAACGGTAGCTTCCTTTTAGATGCAGGGCCAAAGAACAGCCCCCAATAGGGATTCCTGTTACTTACCCAGCAGCCTCCCCAGTGTCTGAATATAGGAGGGAGATTTAGAAAATGCGTTCATTACTTATCTCTTTCTAACACTAATTTTTTCAGAGGTGTTTCCGTCCCGTAGAAAGCTTTTCCCTCCACAACCTCATGTGCTCCTTTGCAAGGCTGTCTTAGGGATGCTCAACAGAAGATGTGTCCAAACTCCATATGTCATCTTATTGTGCAAAGGACTCTTGGTTGGGAATGGGCAAAATGAGAAACTAATCCTGAATTTGATACTAAGTTTCCATGTGACTTTTTAAGATAAGAAGGTTGAACTACAATGATCTCTGTTTCTTTCTAGCTTTAATATTATAAAACTCTACCAACATGATGGTGAAATAAAGCCCTCCACAATTAATTGAATTTCCATCTAGTGTTATTTCAATTTAGAAGATATTCACCACTGGGCTTCTGAGTACATTTGTTCCCATATATTTCTAGTTTACGTTGGTTTGTTATAAGTTCCTTAAAGCAAGTTCTCTCTTCCTTTTCTATTCAATTCAGCCCAAGCCAGGGCTAGTATGTATGCTAAGTTTTCTTTTTCTATCTTATTCCCTTTAAAACAGCAACTGTAATTTAGATTTTTTTTTCCATTTATGGCTAGTTTTATTGTATAAGGGTCATTTTCACATAGAGAAATAACATGGTCCCATATCTGTTTTGCTGCAGTAGCATCTCTGTTTTCATGTTCAAGATATTGATGTTTAAAACATAATCTAATCATCAGAAAAACATTTCAGTTTGAATTAAGTTGCTAACTGTTTTTGAAATGGAACCACTCAAGAGCATTTGGAATCTAAACACACATGTTGGGGTCCTTATAAAATACAGGAGGGAAATGAAGCAGATAGTGTTTTATTTGTTTTTTTGTTTTGTTTTGTTTTGCGGTTTTTGTTCTTGAAGGAATAACTTACACAAAGGCACGCTAACTCTCCATGAAGTCCAAATGAATTAATGAAACAAACATTCCTTACTTCTTTAATCCAGAAGCCCAGTATGGACTTTGTCTCTCCACATGCTTTGCAGAATTCATTTAACATTTGTCATCTGGTGGAAGTCTCCAGATGGGCTGGATTCCGGTTCTTTCTCTCCAACCTACGGGCCCCTAGACCCTGGGGCTGCTCATTTCACCCCTAAGCTGAGACTGTCTCTACCCTATTTACTCAGTTGTAAGAAGTGAAAACATTGTAAGCACTTCACTGTAAAGCATGACGCTAATGCTATATGCTGTAATGATAAAAGATACCATTTGATAGAAAACTAGAAACTCCAGTGTCTTATACTGAGATGACCTTCAAGAAAAATAGTGTAAGAGACCTGGGTGTCAGTGTTGAAGAGGATATTCCCTAGGGCTTGGCAGTGCTTTGCTTGGCCTTGACAGTGCTGAGGCAGCGGTAACCACTTCCTTACTCTGACTGGGTGTTGAGCAGGCCTAATGCAATTGGCCTACTGAGTAAAGACACCGGGGTTTGTAATTAATAACTGACTGTGAAGCAATGAGCAAATTAAAAGTGCTGTGATAGTACTCAGTTCCATTTTGCTTTCTCTATTACATTATCTGTCAAATACTTTCACACAGTACAGCAAATCAACTCTCTCAACCATTTTCCTCTTGATCTAACAGTAAAACCCATTCCTGGGCATTAATTAATATTTATTATTAGCACTTTACTTCCCTCTGTAGCCTTAAAGCCCTTTATCAACATTTCATTATCAATCTGGACAGTCACCATGTCTCCCATATTTTTAGGAAGATAGCTGTGAACCAGATGGCAGACTGGAAACTCAATAGTCTTGCAAAGAAAGAAAAAAATTCTGAGCTCTGGTTTAGAAAGACAGCAGGTGCCAACTGAAAAGTCAAACTCAAGCTGGTTCTTGTTGGATTTCTATCCACTAAACCTCTCTCATTCAGCAACAGCAACGGTCACAACAATAAACAAACAGAAACAAAACACTTGCATTTTGTACTATTTAATGACTAGACTCACCTAATTTTCAACACCGTCTTTTGGGAATCATTTGTCACATGCTGAATCTTTCTTTCAGGCACTCTTCTCTGACTTAAAATTTGATGTTTACCAATAAGGGCTTGGCCAATATTTTATAATTAGTATAAATGGAGTATAACCTTTAAAAATTGTGAATTACTATATTATATATATGTAACTTATAGAATATTTTACATCAGATATACTTCAATAAAAATAAAATATAAAAAATATAAAATTTAATTTAAAAAGGAATCTTTGAACAAATGGAGAATACAAATTTTTAAAAATCTGTCTTGGAAGAAAAAAAAAAAGCTAATGGAAAACTGAGTATCACATTTACTGTGGATAAACACAATAATGAAAAAAAATTTTAATCAAATAAACACATTTAATGTTAAATAAAAGGGCTTGGGACAACTAAATATACTGTAATTTCTTAGGAGCTTGAGTTTTGTGTAAATCATGATATAATTAAAAGCTCTAAATCTTCTGCTAAAACCCATTCTAATTATCTTGTAGACTGGCACTCTTACAGAAGATGGACTGGACCTCTGGGGGACTGCTCCTACTGCTGACAACTGGTAGGCCCTTTAGCGAAGATGGAGTGTGTGATTGGTGGGGCTACCCAGGTGACACTTCAATTCATCCTTCTTGTGTTGAGGGATGAATCTCACATAAAAATATACATAATAATTGGCTGGTACCAGCTCCCCATTAGTCTAACGTGCTAAATTAAATGAGTTCTAAGTTCAGAATCAGATGGGGAAAGTAGGTCTTCAAACTCCACATGAAAACTGGAATAGAATAAAGTGGATGATTAGGTAGTTGAATGAATAAAACAAAAAAGCAAAGAGTGAAATCAGGACTATGCTTAATTAAAAACCACACAGACTTCCTGGGCGGCTTGTGAGGTAGGAAATCCAGAAAGGAAAACCTCCATCTCCCCCCATCATGGAGTTCACACTCTAGTTGGATAAAAGTTGCAAATGCACCCACCTTCAATGTACTACACAGGCCAGGAAAAGAATTATGATTAAGGTACGGATATCACGATACAGAAGAAGACATAATAAAGATTGCTTGATAAAAAAGACAAAAAAACACATTTCTGATTTTTATAATAACATAGTGGATAAAAGGTAGGAATTCATTTTGAAAATGAATGGATCAAGGAATACCACCTGGGGGAGATAGCATTTGAGATAGGTTTTGAAGGGGGAATGGCTAGAATTTTTACAGACATGGTTTAAAAACTGGCACTATGGAGCGGAGAGGGCAATCACATAGACACTACCCTAGAACAGAGCTAGAGACAGGAGAGACTGCCCATCTTCACAGAGTGCCCCCGAGCTCCGTTTCTTGCAGGGCTGGGACCCGCCTTCTCAGTCAGAGTGGAGATACCTCTGCTCTTAAGCTCTGGGTACCCCACCTGGGCTCCAAACTCTGGCTGAGGCTGCTGTTATTGAAGGAGTCAGGCAGGGGTTCTCCAGGATGGTGACGGGACTGGGTTCAGCACTGGCACAAGAGAACAGCAGTCAGGCAGTGTGACGTTGCAGAAGATACCTGGGTTCTAGCCCTATTTGTGTGTCTCTGCTTCTGGCTGCTCCGATGCCCAGGCCAGGCCTTTGTCCAGACAGGTAGGGCCTCTACTGGCCAGAGCAGTGAAAGGGGAAAGGGATGTTTGCAGTTTCCACCCCTTCTCTCCCTCCCTTGCCACTGGTACTCTGAAACTTTGGGGGAAGTAGAAACCACTAGAAACAATTATTATTCAGCTCTAAGATGGGAGGAGAGAAGGTAAGGCAAGCCAGTCTGCTGTCAAATACAGGCGAAGGCCAAAGGGCCAATTAGTGAGAACTATTTGAGCCCATGCCTGCTTTTACTTGAAGAAGAAAGGAGCCAGCAGGCAGGCTTCCTTTCCATCCCTGCTACCCCATTGGCCTGGAGACTTCTTGCCTGGGTTGGGTGGCTTTGCAGAAGCAACTTTGCAGTTCACAGATGTCAGCTCTGAGCCTTCCCACAATGTGCTTTCCTGCAACACTGCCACCTTGTGGGCTGGCGGCAGGCAACCTGACAAAAGCCCCTGTGATTATACCCAAATACTCTACTTGGAATTTATTGTACAGGGCATGGGGAGCTATTGAAGCTTTTGAGCATAGGGGTTAGGTATTATTGAAGCTTATGTTAATAAGATTTTAAGGGGCAGAGTGTGCAGAATGATTTTGTTGAAGATCTTAACTTACTAATGATCTTCTCTACCAGTTTCCAGGAAGTCCACAGCTTTGCCTCAGGCAAGGCTCTGCCCTGGGGCCCACTGTGTGTGGCCATGGCCAGCTGCCACTCTCTGATCCTTCTCGATAGGACCATCCAGGGAGATCCACTGGACCTCAAAATGTTTGAGGTCACAGCTTGAGTAAGGTGATTATTTCCTGGCTCTACTGAATGAGGAAAACTGGAAGAAATACTTACCAGGAGTTCCAAGGCATTTCTAACTTTGGTTGAAACCCAGAGAAGATTCATAACAATATGTGAATGAGGGTCTGATCCTACCTGAATTTCCCAGTCCCTGCTCCAAGACTCTATTAACTAGTGCAACATGAGCTAGGGTTCCATGATCAAATAAATTTGAGAACTGCTGTTCAAACAAAGTTAAGCTGATTTCTTTAGGATTTCTTTTTTTTTTTTTTTTTTTTTGCGGTATGCGGGCCTCTCACTGCTGCGGCCTCTCCCGCTGCGGAGCACAGGCTCCAGATGCGCAGGCCCAGTGGCCCTGGCTCACGGGCCCAGCCGCTCCGTGGCACGTGGGATCCTCCCGGACCGGGGCACGAACCCACGTCCCCTGCACCGGCAGGCGGACTCTCAACCACTGCGCCACCAGGGAAGCCCTTTAGGATTTCTGTAATATAGTGTGGTGCATTGTGAATATTCAAGAGGGAATATAATACGCAGCATTTACTAAACCTATTTCACCACAGAAAACCTTGACAGGCCAAAACATGGTACAAAACACTCTTGGAAAAACACTAGTCTAAAGCAGTACCATTAATGCTGTAGCCACTAGCCACGTTGGCTACTGAACACATGAACTGTGGGTATGCATCTAAGGAACTGGATTTTAAATTTTATTTATTTTAACTAATTTAAATTTAAATAGCCACAAGTGGCTCGTAGCTACTGTACTAGACAGTATAGGTCTCAAAACCAGAATGGAGGTCCCTCAATCCAATGGGTTCGGTTTCCTGAGGTGAATGTAGATGACAGCTGAAGGTTATAAGACTCCCCACTGGTGACTGTCATGACACAGTGGGAAAACCTCTTGATTCCGCCACTCTCTAGATGCAAGACCCCAAATCCAGAACAAGCTTCTGAGTCATGACCTCATCTGCGCATTTGGGTAATAATGCCTCATTCAGGAGCAGGTTGAGACTGTGAGCCTGAAGGGGCGGCATGCATCGTAAAGTGCCCAAACAACGGAGAGCATTCATTCATTCCTTAGTTAGTTAATCAACTACATTGTTCTGCCCTCCAAAAAAATGTTCTAAAGCTACTTACAGTGACACAGAAAATACAGGACAGCATTTAAACAGAGTTGTAAAGGAATGAAAACAGATGCCTGTCCAGACATGGAGAACACCTCACAAAGAGGCTAATTCAAAGATTTATTGTAGGAAAATTGTAGCTTTCTAGAGGCCAAAGTAATGAAAGGCCAAACCTGGTAAACAGGGAAATTTCTGGTATCAGTACATTCAAATGAGAGCATTTGCTGTGGAGAAATGCTTGATATTGTCGACTGAAAAAAAATTCGCAACCTAAAAGTCGAGAGTTATATTTTATGTGGCAGACAAAACTGAGGACTTGAGCCCAGGGCACAGCATCTCAGATAATTCTGACGGACTACAAGAGGCAAGTTGGGCGGGGAGGGGGAGCCAGGATACAAAGGAGTTTTTGCAACAAAGACCAGGTAGTCAAATCAAAAGATTACTGTTAATTAAAGGCAACAAGATATCTCAAGTTAAGGAATTCAGCACTTTTATATGTATGGGAAAATGCAAGAGTCTGGGCTCACTGAAATCATTCCTTTGATATGCACCTCAGCTCTCTGGGGCCAGCATCCTGTGTTTTCTCATCCTGAGTCTCCTCAGGGTGCACTGTCAGGGGTGCCTGCAGAGGCTGACTGCTAGATGGCAGGCATCCTATTTCTATCCCGAGTTCCCTGAGGGCTCACCATCTAGGCAGCTGTAATGTGATGGCTTGATGGTTCCAATGTCCTTTGCTGATATTGCAGGAAATATTTTTATTCACAATATAAGAGCAAGACTAAAATCACTTTTCTGGATCTTAATGGAGAGGAACCAGTGTAATTTTTATAAGCAAAGTCCTTACCAGCATCATTGGTGCTGACACAGTGAGGAGTTGCACATGGTCATTATTGCTGTATGTGACTTTGATCCTGGTTCTAACAGTGCCCCCTTCTCCAATGGAGGAGGCTTGATCTCTTTGTACAAATGACATACAAGTTGGGGTCTTATGTGAGGACATAAATCTATAGTATTAGCTCTGTAAGTACTGTCTTTAAGACCAGTTATATCCACCCCAAGCAAAGAAAGTGCAAATTGTTCATTGAGTTTAAAGCTGGATGAGAAAGAGTCTCTAGTGAAATATCTTTTGGTAGTTCCTTTCACTAAGCATAACGGGGAGGGAAAATGTCCTTACAGACTCTAAGAATATTAGCACTAGAAGGGATGTCATGATATTTTTCAGAAGAAATTGAGATCTGCAGAAATGAGGTGATATCCCCAAGGTTGAACAAGTAAGTGATAGAGCGGAAACCAGATGTTGTCTCCTATTTTCTGACTTGTGCTATTTATATATCTGACTGCCTTTACCATATTTTAGCTTAATATTGGTTTCTCAGATGGTATAACTTATACTGTTGTAACACCCAAAGAATACAAATTATTTTCAAATATGCTTTCTAATTTGCTAGCAGCTAACTTGTAACTCTCTAGCTAACGAATTAAGCTAGTAGCATAGATAGAGCATAAGAAATAGTATCGTGTTTATCTCAAGACTCAACCCTCTGTCATCTGAGAGCTAGTGTGCTCAGGTATATTGGAGAATAGATCTCCACTTCAACCCTCATCCATTTACAAGACATGCCTTTTAGGAAGAGCCAATGGGCTGTAGTTAGCACTTCCTCCACCAATTACTACTTAAAATGTAGTCACAATAATTCTGGCTTTTTGACATTTTACAATAAGGTCCTTAATATAAATCAACACAACAGAAATTTGACAATGATGGTATTAAGATAATTGGCCTACAAGAGAAAATACATGAAAAGGGTTTTGAAGAGATTAAAGTGCTATTTAGATATTTATTAGAGAGATATTTCTTTCTTATTATTTTTCTCTAAGGAATCTTATGAATGTTTTCATTTTAAAACAGATAACGGAAGATTGCAATGTAGACTACTGTAAATTTGGGATATCAGTTTCCAACATGGTAATAAAACCAGGACCAAAAGCCAGTTGGGTATGATTTGCTTTTTTTAAATTATATAAATATTCCCCCTTAAAACTGGTGAAACTCCCCTGTCTTTTACATATTTTTATATTCCTATTATTTTGTTTTATCCTAACAGTATCCATGGTCAGTTTGCTCATTCCTTCATTCCTGAATTTATCCATTAATTTATTCAACAAACACTCATGAGGTACCTATGTATGCTCGAGCACTGTGCTAAGTGCTAAGGCATAAAGTGACTTCAAAACTAGACATGCTGGGAGGGACCTTCAAGATGGCGGAGAAGTAAGACGTGGAGATCACCTTCTTCCCCACAAATACATCAAAAATATATCTACATGTGGAACAACTCCTACAGAACATCTACTGAATGCTGGCAGAAGACCTCAGATTTCCCAAAAGGCAAGAAATTCCCCACGTACCTGGGTAGGGCAAAAGAAAAAAAACAGAGACAAAAGAATAGGGATGGGAGCTGCATCTCTGGGAGGGAGCTGTGAAGGAGGAAAAGTTTCCACACACTAGGAAGCCCCTTCACTGGCGGGGACAGGGGATGGCCCGGGGGAAGCTTCGGAGCCATGGAAGAGAGCGCAGCAACAGGGGTGCAGAGGGCAAAGTGGAGAGATTCCCGCACAGAGGATCAGGGCCGACCGGCACTCACCAGCCCGAGAGGCTTGTCTGCTCACCCGCCGGGGCCAGCGGGGCTGAGAGCTGAGGCTCGGGCTTCGGAGGTCAAATCTCAGGGAGAAGACTGGGGTTGGCGGCGTGAACACAGCCTGAAGGGGGCTAGTGCGCCACAGCTAGCTGGGAGGGAGTCCGGGAGAGTCTGGACCTGCCTAAGAGGCAAGAGACCATTGTTTCAGGGTGCGCAGGGAGAGGGGATTCAGAGTACTGCCTAAACCAACTCCAGAGAAGGGCACGAGCCGTGGCTGTCAGCGTGGACACCAGAGACAGGCATTAAACGCTAAGGCTGCTGCTGCCACCACCAAGAAGCCTGTGTGCAAGCGCATGTCACTATCCACACACACCCTCCCCAACCCGGGAGGCTGTGCAGCCCGCTACTGCCAGGGTCCCGTGATCCAGGGACAACTTCCCAGGGAGAGCACGCGGCACGCCTCAGGCTGTTGCCAACATCACGCTGGCCTCTGCTGACACAGGCTCACCCTGCATTCCAATTATAACTACCGTTCCCTTCCCTCCCCTCTGGCCTGAGTAAGCCAGAGCCCCCTAATCAGCCGCTGCTTTAACCCCATCCTGTCTGGGAGGGAACAGATGCCTGAGGGCAACCTACACGAAGAGGTGGGGCCAAAACCAAAGTTGAACTCCAGGAGCTGTGTGGACAAAGCAGACAAAGGGAAATTTCTCTGTGCAGCCCCAGAAGCAGCGGATTAAATCCCCACAATCAACTTGATGTACCCTGCATCTGTGGAATACCTGAATAGACAACGAATCATCCCAAAATTGAGGTGGTGGATTTTGGGAGCAGCTGTAGACTTAAGGTTTGCAGTCTGCAACTGACCTGTTCCTGATTTTTACGTTTATCTTAGTATAGTTTTTAGCACTTGTTATCATTGGTGGTTTTGTTTATTGGTTTGGTTGCTCTCTTCTTTTAATTAAATATTATTACTTTTTAATTTTTTTATTTTAATATTTTTATTTATTTATTATTTTTTTAAATTTTTTTCTCCTTTTTGTTTGGAGCCATGTGGCTGATAGGGTCTTGGTGCTCTGGCCTGGTGTCAGGCCTGAGCCTCTGAGGTGGGAGAGCCAAGTTCAGAATCTGGACTACCAGAGACATCCCGGCCCCATGTAATATCAATTGGCGAAAGCTCTCCCTGAGATCTCCGTCTCAATGATAAGACCCAGCTCCACCCAACGGCCAGCAACCTCCAGTGCTAGACGCCCCAAGCCAAACAACTAGCAAGACAGGAACACGACCCCACCCATTAGCAGAGAGGCTACCTAAGGTATTACTAACTTCACAGATACCCCAAAACACACCACCGGACACGGTCCTGCCCACGAGAAAGACAAGATCCAGCCTCATCCACCAGAACACAGGCACCAATCCCCTCCACCAGGAAGCCTACACAACCCACTGAACCAACCTTACCCACTGGGGGCACACACCAAAAACAATGGGAACTATGAACCTGCAGCCTGTGAAAAGGAGACCCAAACACAGTAAGCTAAGCAAAATGAGAAGACAGAGAAATATGCAGCAGATGAGGAAGCAAGGTAAAAACCCACCAGACCAAACAAATAAAGAGGACATAGGAAGTCTACCTGAAAAGAATTCAGAGAAATGATAGTAAAGATGATCCAAAATCTTGGAAATAGAATGGAGAAAATATAAGAAACGTTTAACAAGGGCCTAGAAGAAATAAAGAGCACACAAACAATGATGAACACCACAATAAATGAAATTAAAAATTATCTAGAAGGAATCAATAGCAGAATAAATGAAGCAGAAGAACAGATAAGTGACCTGGAAGATAAATAGTGGAAATAATTACCACACAGCAGAATGAAGAAAAAAGAATAAAAAGAATTGAGGGCAGTCTCAGAGACCTCTGGGACAACATTAAACACACCAACATTCAAATTATAGGGGTCCCAGAAGAAGAAGAGAAAAAGAAAGGGTCTGAAAAAATATTTGAAGAGATTATAGTTGAAAACTTCCCTAACATGGAAAAAGAAATAGTCAAGTCCAGGAAGCACAGAGAGTCCCATACAGGTTAAATCCAAGGAGAAACACTCCAAGACACATATTAATCAAACTATCAAAAATTAGATACAAAGAAAAAATATTAAAAGCAGCAAGGGAAAAACAACAAATAACACACAAGAGAATCCCCATGAGGTTAACAGCTGATCTTTTAGCAGAAACTCTGCAAGCCAGAAGGGAGTGGCAGGACATATTTAGAGTCACGAAAGGGAAAAACCTACAACCAAGATTACTCTACCAAGCAAGGACCTCATTCAGATTTGATGGAGAAATTAAAACCTTTACAGACAAGCAAAAGCTAAGAGAATTCAGCACCACCAAACGAGTTTTACAACAAATGCTAAAGGAACTTCTCTAGGCAGGAAACGCAAGAGAAGGAAAAGACCTACAAACTCAAAACAATTAAGAAAATGGTAATAGGAACATACATATCGATAATTACCTTAAATGTAAATGGATTAAATGCTCCAACCAAAAGACAGACTGGCTGAGTGGATACAAAAACATGACCCCGTATATATGCTGTCTATAAGAGACCCACTTCAGACCTAGGGACACATACAGACTGAAAGTAAGGGGATGGAAAAAGATATTCCATGCAAATGGAAATCAAAAGAAAGCTGGAGTAGCAATTCTCATATCAGAAAAAAAGAGACTTTAAAATAAAGACTATTACAAGAGACAAAGAAGGACACTACATAATGATCATGGGATCAATCCAAGAAGAAGATATAACAATTTTAAATATTTATGCACCCAACATAGGGAACCTCAATACATAAGGCAAATGCTAACAGCCATAAAAGGGGAAGTTGACAGCAACAGAATAACAATAGGGGACTTTAACAACCACTTTCAGCAATGTATAGGTCATCCAAAATGAAAATAAATAAGGAAACACAAGCTTTAAATGACACATTAAACCAGATGGACTTGATATATACAGGACATTCCATCCATAACAACAGAATACACTTTCTTCTCAAGTGCTCATGGAACATTCTCCGGGGTGGGTCATATCTTGGGTCACAAATCAAGCCTTGGTAAATTTAAGAAAATTGGAATCGTACCAAGTACCTTTTCCAACCACAAAACTATGAGACTAGTTATCAATGATAAGAAAAGAAAAACTGTAAAAAGTACAAACACATGGAGGCTAAAAAGTATGTTACTAAATAACCAAGAGATCCCTGAAGAAATAAAACAGGAAATAAAAAAATATCTAGAAACAAATGACAATGAAAACACAATGACGCAAAACCTATGGGATGCAGCAAAAGCAGTTCTAGGAGGAAAGTTTATAACAATACAATCCTACTTCAAGAAACAACAAACATCTCAAATAAACAAACTAAACTTGCACCTAAAGCAATTAGAGAAAGAAGAACAAAAAACCCCCCAAAGTTAGCAGAAGGAAAGAAATCATAAAGATCAGATCAGAAATAAATGAAAAAGAAATGAAGGAAACAATAGCAAAAATCTATAAAACTAAAAGCCGGGGCAGACAGCAAAAACAATGGGAAATTGTTCTTTGAGAAGATAAACAAAATTGATAAACCATTAGCCAGACTCATCAAGTAAAAAAAGGAGAAGGCTCAAATCAACAGAATTAGAAATGAAAAAGGAGAAGTAACAACTGACACTGCAGATATACAAAGGTTCATGAGAGATTACTACAAGCAACTATATGCCAAAAAAATGGACAACCTGGAAGAAATGGACAAATTCTTAAAAAACACAACCTTCTGAGGCTGAACCAGGAAGAAATAGAAAATATAAACAGACCAATCACAAGCACTGAAATTGACACTGTGATTAAAAATCTTCCAACAAACAAAAGCCCAGGAGCAGTTGGCTTCACAGGCGAATTCTATCAAACAAAGCTCTTAGAGAAGAGCTAACACCTATCCTTCTCAAACTCTTCCAAAATATAGCAGAGGGAGGAACACTCCCAAACTCATTCTATGAGCCCACCATCACCCTGATACCAAAAACAGACAAAGATACCACATAAAAAGAAAACTACAGGCCAATATCACTGATGAAGATAGATTCAAAAATCCTGAAGAAACTACTAGCAAACAGAATCCAACAGTACATTAAAAGGATCATACACTATGATCAAGTAGGGTTTATCCCAGGAATGAAAGGTCTTCAATATACACAAATCAATCAATGTGATAAACCATATTAACAAACTGAAGGAGAAAAACATATGATAATCTCAATAGATGCAGAAAAATCTTTCAACAAAATTCAACACCCATTTATGACAAAAACTCTCCAGAAAGTAGGCATACAGGGAAGCTACCTCAACATAATAAAGTCCATAAATGACAAACCCACAGCCAACATCGTTCTCAATGGTGAAAAATGGAAACAATTTCCTCTAAGATCAGGAACAAGACAAGGTTGCCCACTCTCCCCATTATTATTCCACTTAGTTTTGGAACTTTTAGTCACAGCAGTCAGAGAAGAAAAAGAAGCAAAAGGAATCCAAATCAGAAAAGAAGAAGTAAAACTCTCACTGTTTGCAGATGACATGGTATTATACATAGAGAATCCAAAAGATGCTACCAGAAAACTACTCGAGCTAATCAATGAATCTGGTAAAGTAGTAGGATACAAAATTAATGCACAGAAATCTCTGACATTCCTATACACTAATGATGAAAAATATGAAAGAGAAATTAAGGAAACACTCTCATTTGCCATTGCAACAAAAGGAATAAAATACCTAAGAATAAGCCTACCTAAGGAGAAAAAAGACCTGTATGCAGAAAACTATGACACTGATGAAAGAAATTAAAGATGATACAAACAGATGGAGAGATTTACCATGTTCTTGGATTAGAAGAATCAACATCATGAAAATGACTATACTACCCAAAGCAATCTACAGATTCAATGCAATTCCTATCAAACTACCAATGGCATTTTTCACAGAACTAGAACAAAAAATTTCACAATTTGTATGGATACACAAAAGACCCCAAATAGCCAAAGCAATCCTGAGAAAGAAAAACGGAGCTGGAGGAATCAGGCTCCCTGACTTCAGACTATACTCAAAGCTACAGTAATCAAGACACTATGGTACTGGCACAAAAACAGAAATATAGATGAGTAGAACAGGATAGAAAGCCCAGAGAAAAACCCACACACATATGGTCACCTTATCTTTGATAAAGGAGGCAAGAATATACAATGGAGAAATGACAGCCTCTTCAATAAGTGGTGCTGGGAAAACTGGACAGCTACATGTAAAATCATGAAATTACAACACTTCCTAACACCATACACAAAGATAAACTCAAAATGGATTAAAGACCTAATTATAAGATCGGACACTGTAAAAATCTTAGGGAAAACATAGGAAGAACACTCTTTGACATAAATCACAACAAGATCCTTTTTGACCCACCTCCTAGAGAAATGGAAATAAAAACAAAAATAATCAAATGGGACCTAATGAAACTTAAAAGCTTTTGCACAGCAAAGGAAACCATAAACAAAACAAAAAGCCAACCCTCAGAATGGGAGAAAATATTTGCAAATGAAGCAACTGACAACGGATTAATCTCCAAAATATACAAGCAGCTCATGCAGCTCAATATCAAAAAAAATAAACAACCTAATCCAAAAATGAGCAAAAGACCTAAATAGACATTTCTCCAAAGAAGATATACAGATTGCCAACAAACACATGAAAGGATGCTCAACATCACTAATCATTAGAGAAAGGTAAGTCAAAACTACAAGGAGGTATTACCTCACACTGCTCAGAATGACTATCATCAAAAAGTCGACAAACAATAAATGCTGGAGAGGGTGTGGAGAAAAGGGAACCCTCTTACACTGTTGGTAGCAATTTAAATTGATACAGCCACTGTGGAGAACAGTATGGAGGTTCCTTAAAAAACTAAAACTAGAACTACCATATGACCCAGTTATCCCACTACTGGGCATATATCCTGAGAAAACCATAATTCAAAAAATGTTCATTGCAACACTCTTTACAATATCCAGGACATGGAAGCAACAATATCCAGGACATGGAAGCAACCTAAGTGTCCATCGACAGATGAATGGATAAAGAAGATGTGGCATATATATACAATGGAATATTACTCAGCCATAAAAAGAAATGAAATTGAGTTATTTGTAGTGAAGTGGATGGACCTAGAGTCTGTCACTCAGAGTGCAGTAAGTCAGAAAGAGAAAAGCAAATACTGTATGCTAACACATATATATGGAATCTAAGAAAAGAAAAAAGGTTCTGATGAACCTAGGGACAGGACAGGAATAAAGATGCAGATGTAGAGAATGGATTTGAGTACACGTGGAGGGAGAAGGGTAAGCTGGGACGAAGTGAGAGAGTGGCATGGACATATATACACTACCAAATGTAAAATAGATAGCTAGTGGGAAGCAGCCGCATAGCACAGGGAGATCAGCTTGGTGCTTTGTGTCCACCTAGAGGGGTGGGATAGGGAGGGTGGGAGGAAGACACAAGAGGGAAGGGATCTGGTGATACATGCATACGTATAGCTGATTCACTCTGTTATACAGCAGAAACTAACACACCATTGTAAAGCAATTATACTCCAATAAAGATGTTTAAAAGAAAAAAAAGGAAAGAAAATAGAAAAAGAGAAATGCAAAAAAAAAGAAAGCTAGACATGTTGGGCTCTGTGCTGGAAGAATATGAGGACTGATAGAAAAATCAATATAGGTGCAAATAAATGCAGTATAATGTGCCAAGTGCTATAATAAAGGCTGAAGAAAGAACAGCAGGAGTCCAGAGGTGGGAGTAAATACTGTTTTTAGGAGAGAAGTACCACAGAGGTGGTGCCCTGCAAACTTGGTCTGGAAGATGACTCAGATTCCTCCAAGCAGCCAAGGGGAAGGGCCTTGCAGACCAGACAACTTGATGAGGGAATCGCCTTAGACGCAGCTAGAAAAATATCAACGTTGTGACAACGTACGACTTGGAAGCCATCACCATCTTTCGACAGTTTCCATTTTCCTGCAGCCTGCAGAGGATGTCTGTGGTCATTCAGCTGGAGGGGAGGATTATTTTTGTGTCTATATGAAAGGTGCCCCGGAGATGCTGGCTAGGTTCTGCAGATCTGAAACAGGTACTAACTGACACTTATCTCTTTCAGGAGGCAAAAGTATTTTAAAAGCTCAAACACACAGAGCAAACCAACCTAAATCAATGAATGTGGAGGTGGTTATTTTCTCGGTAAGTGGGAAGTGGGCTCAGTAGATCTGCTAAGGCAGAGGTGGTAACTTAAAAGCAGAGAAGCAGTGAGTAAATGTCAGCCAGAAAAGCTCAACCACAATGGGCCATCAGAGAGGGAGGTGTGAAGCAAGCCTCAGAAGCCAGAACAGGGAGCTACAGCGGGGTCAGAGGACCAGGGAGGGTGAGAATGAGGAGTGTTAAAAGGAACCAAAGAGACAGGTCTGAACCCTAGATTAATTCTGCAGACAGGGATGCTCTGTCACCTCCTGGGGGCTGGCATCACTTATGGGGTCTTAGATCAATGAGAGGAGAATATAAAAAAGATAAATCTTTTAGGAAAAAAAAAAGTGATTAGAGTAAATTAGATGGTATTAGAGCAAGGTAATTGATCATTTTCACAGCAATTTCATCTTTCAGGGCCAGATTTTGAGCTGATTTGTATTGTTTCTTAGTCTTATAAACATATGCACTCTCTAAGCTGCAGCCCAGATTTGTAAGAATATTGTTGCATTCAAATGAGTTCATTTGGATAAAACTGGCCTTTTTACTCCTGATTTTCATCTATATTCTCCTTACAATTGCTGATAGCCATCAACTTGTGCACAGAATTCTAAGATTTGACAAATGATTGCTTTAACTTCTCTCTCTACTTCGAGTCTTTTTTTAGAAGTCCCTCTTTTTTCTGATTTTGATCTTCCTCATAGCTCCCATTAACTCCATCCTTCACAGACTGATGGTCTGTTCTTGGCTGTTCATTTTTTTTCAGGTGTCCTTTGCCACCCCTTATTCATCTGGTAGCCCCCTTCCAATTCTTATTGTCCTAAATTCTGATCCTTGACATATGCTAATATCATATTCATACAGTTGGCACTTTAAAAGACCTTCAGAATCCCTTAGATATGTCTTCTTTCAAGAATCAGTAGTACACCTCCTTCGAGTCTGGAGAGGTAGTGAGTGCAAATTGAGTTCCTTATATGAAGTAGAACTCAGTATTCTTAATTACGTTCAGGAGATACATTGTCCTCAGCAGAGGACAATCTGTAGATTATTTTTTCTTTCGAAGTTTCTCAGTTTTTAAAGTTTGTTTTTGAATTGTTTATGACAAAGGAGTAAAGAAATACTGTGGAAAATTGAATAACAGATCATCTGCATCACTTATCTTTGATTTTGTGTTGCTGGTAGAGAGATCCTCACTTACATACAATTATTAACCCCTCTGCACAAGATGTGGATATCCTCGGTTCCACATTACTATTTACAACCTAAGTCTATCTACTCTAATATAATCAGTAATCACCGTCCCTTCCTTACCCTGTGTCTATTTCCCCCAACTATAAAATGTGGGATTGGGTGATCTCTAAGAAGCCTTTCGCCATGACATTTTAATCTTCTAAATAGAATCACAAATATATGCGGTTCACAAATATATGAACGGCACTCTCAGGTTTAACATTCAAGGTGTTAGCTATTCTTGAGGAAGCATAAAGACCCATAACACACAGGATTTTGTAATTTTTCAAGATACAAATTTTAATAATAAAAGTTAAGGTCATGTGTGAAGACAAGATTTATGTCGCTAGAAGTGGAATGTAGCTGCCACCCAGCTGTCACATACAAATTAAACAGTGATGTTCTCATTTAAAAGCACCAGTGAGAGAGACATTATTATAAATATGACAAAATTTAAAAATGAGGATAAATTGTGCTGGATTTCCAACTATCCCAGGTTTTCCCAGAGAATATCGGGAGCCTATTTATCATGCTTCCTAGAATATAGTTATCATTTTCAAACAGGGTTAAAGAATAGGGTTTTGATTTTTTTTTGAGTCAAATTATATTCAGCAAAAATTTCCAATTAGGAAAATCAAGATGTATAAAAAACTGACATCATAAAGGGGAAGTAGAAGAGTTTCCTGAGATGACTTAGGGGGAAAAAGAATCAGGAGCAATACCTTATCAAGATTCACCCTTTCATGAGTTTAGCCAATTTCTATTGAGCTTGACTATGTATTGGATGCCCCTCAAGGCACTGAGGATTCAGAAGTGAATAAAATCAAATCCTTGCCCTCACAAAGCTTATATCCTAATTGGGGGAAATAATTAATAAGTTAATCTATAAAATATTGTCAGGCAGTGATAAATGCCCTGAAAGAAGAAAAAAAGCAGGTTAAAAGGATTTTAAAAATGACAGAGAGCACCATATTACATGGGGAGATTAGGGAAGTCCTCTGAGGGGGTAACATTTGAACAGAGATCTGAGTAAAGTCAGGGAGCAGAGCATGCAAGTATCCAGGGACGGAGCACTGCAGGCAATAGGAATAGTGGAGGCAACAGGCCTCGACACAGGATTTTGCTAGAATGTTGTAGAATCCCGAGATACCCAAGTGCCTGAAGCAGTGAAAAAGGGAAGAATCATAAAGCAGAGACTCAAAGCAGAATACATTGGTGAGAAGATTTTGGAATTTTTCTTTTAGTTCTAGTTAATGAGAAAATATTAATCCAATTTATAATAGAAAGTCATGAAGTTAAATGATGAGAATTTAACAAATTCTATATTAAGGTGCATTTTCTTTTATAATATTCTCTAAGATCATGAGGTAGGATTCATATCTGATTATCTGAGTATTCACCAACGTGCCTAATATAGGATCTAAAATAAAGTAGTAATTTAGTAACTGGACTGTGGAATGAAGGATGTAGCTACTTATACTCTACTCCAGAGAGAAGTTTCTTCATTGTATTCTTATCCACGTTGAATTATTTCTTATCAAGAAATTCAACTCTGATTTTTTTCTTAAAGGAGTTTACTGACCACGTGATCATTTCCCTCCCAAGTCCTACTAACATGATAGAAAAGAAAGTTTCAGAGAAAACTAGAGAAGGAATAAGTGTAGATGAGAGATTTCTATATATTTCTGTAAGTCATAAAGTAAATGGAGGAGTGGTAGCTGAATCAGCAGGATAGAAGAAGCTATAGCTTATACCAAGACAGAGAGATTGCAGGAGGAAAGCTGGTTCACCCTGTAGAACCCCAGAGAGAACGAGACTCTGATATGCCATGTACTGTGGAAGGTGGAGATGAGACTGAGGACAGTGAACATAGGAGTGGACTGACAGCAGGCACAGAAGTTGGTTCCCTAGGTCTCCCTATCCTTCCCCTTCCTCTTCCTGAAATCTTAACTCCACTCTGGACAGAAAAAGGAAAAAATGAGGGATCAAGAAAGAGCTCTTGGCCCCCAAATTTACTTTTTAAGAAACACCTGAGATTTATTTTATTTTAGAGGAGAGGTCCCACTACCTAATGTAACCCAGTTAGACTCCAAGCCTCCCATTTCAAGTTCTGAAGACTCTTCAAATCCTTGGCTGATGTCATGTATTTACTGGATGTTACAGATGGAGGCTGAAATAAATGATTCCATATTCAACTATTACTATAGTATCCTGTATGCAGTACGTACTTAATAAATGTCTACTAAACTAAAATGCTTACAAGCTAAAAAAGTTTTAAAAATATATGACTAACAAAAAATTTTAAAAACCAACAGAAGAGTTGGAAGATAAACACATTGTTTTAAAAAAAATGGAGTTGAAAAACTGGAAGAAGCAGCTAAAAGATATAAAAGTAGTTACCTCTGAGAAGGAGAAGGGGTGGGGTGCTGTGAAGACAGGGGCTATTGGTTTTCATTACTATAAACTTTTGGGTTCTTTTTGATTTTTTAAACGTGTGCATGTATTACATTGATAAAACTTAGAAATTTCAAAACGAAGCAATAAATCCAACTGTTGAGATTATATGGATACACTTTAATAGTGGCTTTCTTCCAAATCCAGAGAGAGAAGGTGGAGTCAGAGTTAACATTTCTGGGACTTCTCATAATGGAGAATCACTTGAAAAAGGAAACAAAACCAGTCTTGAAGGAACTGAGCTAGGCCCCATCAGGACTGCGATGATTACCGGTATGGGTTTCAGGAAGCCTGTCAAATTACATGTATCCCAGGCATAAGCAAAATACCATGTGAGCTGAGTGAGTTCATGTAACTGAGGCGGAGAGAACAAAACTTGGCTGTCAAGTTTGTTACCCTCTGCTCCAGTTACCTGGGAACATGTGTAGCTCCCCCACCCCCAGCACGACCCTGAGCTTTGGAGACAAGGACCGTAGCTCATTCTCTTTGTCTGATGCCCTCTGTTCCTACCCAGGATCTGCGCAGAGCTAATAGGCTCACAACAAATGTTGAAAGAAGAGAATGGGATTCTCATCAAGAACCCCAGTGAGACCTCTGTGTGAAGGGGGCGAGACCCTGCTGGACTGTCCTTCAGGGCGGTGGGGTAGGCATGGCCTGTGATGATCAAATCCAACACGGCCAGCCCTAAGTGCTTTTTTTCTTTACTTAATTGGAATCCAGATGCCAAGAATAGTTTTATGTTATCAGACGAGGCCCATATAACTTTCACCACTGACAGCTGTCAGTCTTCTGAGGATTAGTCGTAAAGCACTTAAATATTTATTTATTCACTTGTGCATATTTTGGAAATATGCGATGATCTGGGACATGATGCGGTTATGGGAGGGAAATGCAGACGTAGTGTTTGAGCACCCATGACAGATAGGCCTGATAAACGGTTATGAAAAAAGCAGAAAGCGATAAATGCCCCCAAGAGCACCAACAATGTGGTACAGTCACTCGGAAGAGGGAGAGCTCAGTTCTGGATGCTGAGAGGTTTCTACACAAAGCAAGCCCACTTTCTTTGTCATCTAGGTGACAACCTTCAAACAGCCATTACTGTTGCAAAGAATTCTGAAATGATTCCTCGAGGGAGCCACGTGATCCTTGTTGAAGCCAATGAACCCGAAGAGTTTGTCCCTGCCTCTGTGACCTGGAAGCTGGTAGAGAACCAAGAGAGTGGGTCTGGAAAGAATGTGAGTGAGTGTTACAAGGTTCTGCATGGGCTGGGGCAGATGGAATACAGCCCTAACCCTGGGCAGCTCTCTCTTGGCATTAGAAGTCACCACAGTAAAAAGCCCTCCCATGTGCCCAGAGTTTTACTGTTTGAAAAGCTTTTAGCATTTCCGCCAGCACTTCTCAGTCTTGGCCTCACGTAGAAACGACCTAGAAGAGTTTTTAAGCTTCCAAAGCCAAGACTACGGATTCAATCAGAATCTCTGGGCTGGGAACTGACATCAGTCCTTCCCCCGGTGATTCCAATGTGCAGATGTGGCTGAGAACCACATCTTGCTTGTACCTATATCCATTTTTAATAGAGATGGTATACTTTAAAATTTTTATTTTATTGAAGAATAGCTGATTTACAATGCTGTGTTAATTTCTGCTGTACAGCAAAGTGATTCAGTTATACATCTATATATTCTTTTTCATAGTCTTTTCCATTATGGTTTATTACAGGATACTGAATATAGATCCTCACTACTTTTTAATAAAGAGTCCACTTATGAGCTTAATGCCTCTCCTGAAGGTTTGTCATTGCAGGGAGAAGTCGCATCATAGTCTCAGGCTTTCCTGCTCCTCTCCGGCTCCCTCCCACCCCACTTTCTCTCCTTGATTTCCAAGAAAAGCACAGGGAATCCAGTCCCTGCCTCAAGTGAACACTTTACAACAAGTCTTTGGTTGGCGGTTTTACAATGGAGGTTGGAAGGGGAGGGGTGTATCACCTTGCCTCCCAGTCTAGTACATCAAAATATATTTTCTTCCAAATACAGTGCTTCCCCAGTGAATTCCTCTAATGAAGAAAAGGTTCTCATCTTTTATACTATCTGAATTTAGAGTCCTACATAAATGTAAGACCCTCTGAAAAATGTTGCATCAACAGCCATTACCAGCTATTGACATGATGAATGCATACACAGTCATCAGATGCTTTCTCCTGGAGCTGAGCCAGCTAGGGCTAGAACCCAGTGATAGGGCTACACTGACAGGTGAAAAACAGGACAGAGAGGGTTTCAGGAAAGGAGTAGTGCTGGTGCAGGGGTCACAGGATGTGGAAGAGGATCTGGGCACTGTGAGGGAATAGGTTACCTGTGGGGTGGGGAGAGGTCACGTTAGGCTCTGAAGAAAGAGTCTACCTATTGTACAGGGAAGAAATTGGGGCATGATTTTTGAAGGAATGAATGGTAAGAGATCTTAGGAAACAAAAGGTTGAATGAAGAGGAGAAAGAAGAGAAGGGAAGAATGTTTCCTCTTCTTCCTTGGAATCACTCATTGGTACCTTGGAATGATTTCCTCAGTAGACTGACATCACACGTATTATTTCCCAGAATAGGATACAGAGCATCATGTTGCCAAAGTATTCTCTGCTCATGTAATTTGGGGGGGAGCATTTTGAGTATCTTCTTCATATGAGTCTAAGTTCTATGGGTAAATTCCATATTGTGTATTTGCTGGTCCTCACCCTGTTGTGTAACATGAATACACTTCCTTCCATAAAATGTAGGAAAGCAACAACATTCCTTAAGAGCCAATGTAGAAATAATGCCCTTTTGAGTTTAGGAAACCTACATTAACATTGGAAACAGTTCAGTGCCTGATGGAGAAAGAGGGAGCTGTTACCATTTCGCAGTGAGTGAGAAATCATACCAAGTGATATTGCAGCATTTCAACAGCTTGCTTCCAAAAGTAAGTACTGGAGAAATGATGCGTTTTGTTTTGCTCCTCAAATTACTGAGATAAAAAAGCATAAGAGAACAGTGAAGGGGACGATCAGCGAGGTTATCTCAGAGTTAGGAAATAAACACCCCCAAACAGGCACTGCGCTTTCAGGAGTTTCCCGCCCCCCTAAACCTCCTGATCCAGCACGTGCGCATGGCCTCCTGTTCAGCGTTTGAGGCTGGTACTGCCCCTCGCCCCGCCCCTGGGGCCAGTCCAGCCCCTGCGTCCTTCCTCCCTCCCTCCCGAGCAGAGAGAACCTCCAGCTAGTTCCAAAGATGCTGCCTGTTTTTCATGTCTGTTTCTCTCTGAAAGTCACCAACTCATGTCAGGCTGAACTCTATTCCCCTTCCTGCCTGGATTCTTAAATTACAGCAGAAGGAAACAAAGACTTCATGGTTTATTCTTAAAATCATTTGTTATCTTGTCGCTGTGTGTGTATTTTCAAATAGTGCCCTGCAGGGTTGTGCTGTCAGTGGGAAGGAGATAAGTGGAGAACGAGCCCAGGGCAGCAACCATCTGTTAGCAGTGTCTTGAAAGTCCTGTCGCCTTACCAGTCAAGGACCATAGAATCTAGACCCCCCAGGCTTCTAGAAAGCCGTTAGTGCAGTTCCTCATTGGAGAGACTGGAAAGCTGAGACTCAGAGAGGTTGCCTCTTGCCTAAGGTTTGCACAATTTGGGGCAGAGCTAGGAATAGAACCCTGATTCTCAACTCATGATCTATTGCTCTTTCCTCTGCTTAGTCTTCAGTTACGGAGACAGTGTTTATTAAAAAGAATTGTATTTCCTTAAGCGTTTTAATCTTATATGCTCTTCTGCTCTTTAGTTACTTTTTATTCATTAGCGCTTACCCCATCTTGGAAAAATGGCCTGGAACAAAGTAATAGACTTGTGATGGAAAACTGAAAGTGAAAGTTAAATATTAAAGTGTTAAATCCTCTTTTTTCCCTTTCCTGACATTTGGTCTAATGTCACACCACCCAATGCTATATTAAAATGGTGGCCAGGAGTCATTTTTCAGGACTGTTCTTTTATTTTAAAAGTGTTCAACTCTCTAATCTTATTGCAATCGTTGTTTTTCTCTTTAGATTCTGGTGAATGGAACAATTTTTGCAAGAATGTTCCCTGGGCAGAAATCTAGCCTCATTGAAGAATTTCAGAAATTAAAGTAGTTGTTATTGCATGAAAAGAGAGTGTATTTGTTATTTATTGCTGTGTAACAAATTACCCCAAATCATAGTGGCTTAGAATAACACCATTTTTTTTTTTTTTTTTTTTTACATTGCTGTGGGTCAGGAATCCAGGTGTGCTTAGCTGAGTCTTCTGGTTCTAGGTCTCTCACAGGTGTAATGAGGTGTTGGCCATGACTGTAGTCATCTTGGGGGGGAAGGATCTGCCACCAGCTTCACTCATGTGTTGTTGGCAGGATTCAGTTTCTTGTGGGCGGTTGGGCTAAATAGTCTGTTTTTTACTGGCTGTTGGGCAGAAACCACCCTTGTTTCCTTGCCACGTGGGTCATTTCATAAGGAAGCTCACAGTGTGTCAGCTAGCTTCCATGAGAGAGAGCAAGTAAGAAGAGTCAGAGGGAGAGAGAAAGAGAGGGAGAGAGAGAGGTATGACGATGTTTTATATCTTCATCTTAGAAGTAACATCTTATCCCATCACTTTATTCCTTTCATTAGAAGCAAGTTGCTAGGTCCAGTCCACATTCAAGGGAGGGCATTAGACGTCATGAATACTAGGAGATGGGCCATTTCAGAAGCTGTCTACCCCGGAGAGCATTCCTTCTGTGGCCCATAGGGCATATCTTAGAGGAAGATCCCCTGCTTGGATATAGAGTATAGAAACAACAGGGGTTTGTACAGCTCAGAGTGGAAAAAATGGAGAAGTGTGAGAGTTATCACCTGGAATTATTTGAGGTTGGTCCATCAGAAGCTGGGTGAATAATTTCAGGTTCTCCAGGAAGGAGATGAAATGGCATTTTCACTGTTTTGGGTATTGAGGCCAAAGTCAGAAAAAGAAAAAGTCCTTTCTTATCTCCTTCAAAAATACAGATGACCAAGTCACATCAGAGTGAAACGGTTCTTCTTGAGACCAGACCTATGTATTACTTGCTGGGACTGTTACAATTTCTGGACTGCAGATTTCTGGAAAGTGAAAAGGAATGGAGAGTAGTGAAACTTAGATAATTGCTGATAAGTAGTAAATAAAATCAAGAGACTGCCTTTGACTATTATTTTTTGTTGCCCAAGCATTCTTAGGGAAGTTTCCAAAACTGCTTATTAACTCCCATAATGCCTCGAGGCTGGGTTAGTAACCAGTGTCTAAAATGACTATTTTACTTACATGGTCATTGTATGATATTGGCTGAAGAAAGTAATTTTACCCTTCTCAAATACGTGAGAAATGTTGCCAACTTAAATGCTTACTTTTGAAAAGCTGTATTCCCCTAAAGAAACATCAATTCAGGAGGATATATGCTGTCTCAGAATAAGTTAACCTCTCAATTTCCAGATCTTGATCTTCATTCAGAATTTATTCTTTATTCAGACAACACTAGAAGATGTAAGATTCCTCGTGTGATATAAAGACTAAATATGTACCTTACGCCTGAAGAAAGGAAGCCATTTTCAGCAAATGTGTATAGTCTTGATATGTACATGAACACAAACAAATGTTTATAGGGTGATTTTCATATATACTAGCCAAATAGTAAGTTAAACCGTATGAATCTGTTTACATGTGACAATTTTGTTTTTTTTTTTTTTTGCGGTACGCGGGCCTCTCACTGTTGTGGCCTCTCCCGTTGCGGAGCACAGGCTCCGGACGCGCAGGCTCAGCAGCCATGGCTCACGGGCCTAGCCGCTCCACGGCATGTGGGATCTTCCCGGACCGGGGCATGAACCCGTGTCCCCTGCATCGGCAGGCGGAATCTCAACCACTGCGCCACCAGGGAAGCCCCACATGTGACAATTTTTGACCAATAAAGATGGCCGTTTCTTATGTGTCAACTAATAAGGAAATTCTCTGAGAACTTCATTTTTCCCTGTGTGTTATTTCATGTGTTTTTGGCAAGTTACCACTGAGCCTTTAATAGTATTGCCATTAATCAATACCTCCGATGTATTATTTACTTATAATAGAAGACAGTGTGTCTTGCATCAGAAACTCCTTTTCTTTAGTAGTAGCTTTAAATTTTACTCTTCCCTTTATACTGTTGTGTTTGTACACCAAACTGGTATAGGTGGGGGCCATGTTATCTCATTTTCACTCCAAGATGCATCAGGAATATATGTATATATCTCTAGTTATATCTGTTAAACCATTTCCCAAATGTTTCTCTCCCTAGTGTCTACATGTTAAACTTTCAGCAGCAGTCAGCAACCAAAACACAGATGGACTAGGTTGTGATCTGTGCATTAGGGTGTGGAAAGTGCTGTGATTATGACAGCATACACTTCAGCTTGGTCTTGGTGGATATAATCCAACAGGACTTCTTTTGAAGTGTGTGATCATCTTTGTGGACATCCTTGACAGTATCACCATCATTTCCATGTGATTGATTGATTGAAACAATTTAAATATACAAGGGCATTATCCCTCTGGGAATAGTTATCTCCAAGTCTTTTTCTTTCAGCCTGATTCCACATGTGTTCAGGGGACACACACACACACACACACACACACATACACACACATCGCGTGTGATCTAGTTATGATGGAAATTACTCAAGTGAGGCATTAAGCTTAATTAAAATTAAGCATTAATTTTTCTTATCCTTTCCCCTGCAGTCATTATGTAGGCATGTGTGGAGATGGAGCTAATGACTGTGGGGTGAGTAGAAATTATTTCTTCTAATGCAGGGGGATCACTGATATCCCTTTTAAGGACCCCACATCTCCTGGGGTCTGACTCTTCACCCTTCTGCCAACAATCACATCACTTAATCATTCTGATGTTTATATTCACTTCTACTGGAGTGTGGGTTGAACGTGGTTTAGAGTAAAGTGAGATGAGTCACTTCCGCTGTTTTCTAGCAACTCCTAGAATAATAAAGACAAGGAAAGGCTACATAGGCTCCCATATTTCAGACGCAAAAGGGACTTTTCAAGACTAGCTGGTTTAAATATCTCCTGTTATAAATAAGGAAATGAGACTCAGGGAGGTGAATACTTTTTTTTTTTTCCTGAAGTCATGCAGCTGGTAAAGGCTTAATGAAGGAAGAATTTGAAACTGATGGGAAAGCTTTGACTTATGTATAAATTGTGTTTATCCCTGCCAGATTTCTACACCAGGGTTACTTTTTACAAGTTGGCTATACCCCAAAATTCTTACACTCAGCAAAATCATAGGCCAAATTATTTGGTCATTACATACAATAGCAAACCTAAATTACAAGATTCTCAGCAGATTACTTCTCTAACACAATAGAAAGCAGTGCATATTATATAATCTGAGTTTCGAAGATATGGTTGAAACAGTAGCTTACTTGAAAATTGTTGTACATAAGAAAATATTTTAGGAGCTAATTTGTGGAACGAGAAGTAAAGAGAATTGCTTTGTATTTCCAAAGTCTATTAGATACTTAAGGTCTAGGTATTTGTTTTACTTCCTTCTTAAATATTTTCTTTCAAGTTCTGTGAACAACTATGTTCATAATTAGAGATCTGTTATGAATTTTTCTGCCTCATACTTCATGAGAAGAAGCTAGCTGTTAGTCTCCTCTTCCAAATCTAGAGTGAGTACCCATTCTCATTAATTATGTGGAATTTAGAACAAAACAAAATAAACTGGATGTTATAAACGAGATAGTCTCTTCCTCCGAAGAGTTCATTATCTGATGGGGGAAAAAAATCATGCATAAAACTAACCCTAACATGAAGTAGATGGTCCTAAATTACATCACAGAGATATAAAATATTAAGGGAGAAAGGAGGAAGAAGGAAATATTCTAATATTAATTGAACATGAATTTAGTGTATACTGGCCATAGTAACCAGGTACTTTGCACTTTCTACAGAGCTACAGAAATACGAAATCTCATTTTATGTTCGTACAATTCTCATAGGATTAGGGGCTCACTGGACTGCTCGTTGGCCACTCTCTGCTCTGGGCATTCTCTGGACAGTTTCCAGTCTTGATGAGAAATGAATTAGCCCTTATATCAGTGAGACCACATATATTCTGGAACGCTTCTCTGATGTGTGCATCTGGTCCTTTCCTCCAGTGAAGATGCTGTATGCCCCACACTTCGTCCCAGCAGTTAGCTGGTTGGCCGGATCAGGCAGCCGGCAGCCTAGGAAAAGGTGGGAATTAGTTTTTCCTATAGTTCATGAAGGTGGCCTGTTAAGTGTAAGAACTGTGATAGTAAAGGCCCTCACAAAGTTCCATCCAAATTCTGTCATCTTTTTAATAGATTTCTGGAATGAGTCCTTCCATTTTCTTATCATGTCTACACCCCCTCAACCAATACACACACACACACACACACACACACACACACACACACACACGCACGCACGCACTCTTCTACCACTGGGTCATTGTTTACTTGGTGCCTCTTTCATTGGTGACTGCGTGTATCCAGGTGGCAGAGCAGCACAAACAGAGATCCAGGGGTGGGAGAGTGCAATGTTATCAACTCTATAACGTGAAGAATAGCCTCGCGCTGTTTGAAGAGCTAGAGCTTGGCCTGAGGAGTCGTGGGTGTAACATGGCTTTATCATTCCAGGCTTTGAAAATGGCTCATGCAGGCATTTTGCTGTCAGAACAGGAGGCATCTGTGGCCTGCCCTTTCACCTTGAAAACAGCCAACATCGAGTGTGTCTCATCTCATCAAGTAGGCCACCTATCCCCTTTCTATCCCCTGAGCGACAGGCTCACTGTCTGGCTCTGGACAGAATTCAACTATAATTGAAAGTGATAAGCAGAGGCTCGGGTAAAGTGCTACTGAGTATCATTTAAGGGGGCCATGAGTGCTGCTTGAGAATGCTGGTAAAAGCAACAAAAAGTGACTTATGCTGAGCTTTGAAGGACACATGGCTGTGTCATGTGGACAGTTGAAAACTAGAGTTGATATTTAAAAACCTATTGTATATCTTACTTCTCTCCTTTATTTTGTATGTTGGATGCTTACTGGAACCTTTATCTCAGGAGTTGTGGATGCGGGGGAAACAGAAAAGGAACCCTCCACCAGAAAGCTTCCCCCAGTAGTGTTATGTCTCCAAAATACAAATTAGTGAATACCCAAAGTGATTGCACCAGAGACTTTTACAATGGATTGGCAATTGGATTAGGGAAGGGGAAGGAATTAAAAACTTTATTTTCCCAGTATAGCTCCCTTACATCCACTGCACTCTCATTTCTGATCTTGTCTCTACTCATATTTTTTTTGGTCTAATTATTATCAATTAAATAAAGGTTTTATTGGCTAAATAACTAACAAACAACCATAAACCCTATGATGTGATCCAGGCCAGTAGCTATATGTAGAGATTCATGAATTATTATTCTTAACCAGTGTTTTGATTGCAGTATTAGACACTCAGTATTTGTGTGTACATTTGCTCTAAATTAACATTAAAACAAATAATGACATTTTTAGGGATTTCTACTATGGCTCAAACTTCAGGCTGACAATGGAGAAGGACGATATAACATCCAAGTAACACATAAAGATATAAAACAATAGAAGGCCTGGTTTCTATGAAAACTCCAAGTACTGGGCCTTGAGACTTCCCTGGTCGTCCAGTGGTTAAGACTCTGTGCTTCCACTGCAGAGGGGCACAGGTTCGATCCCTGGTTGGGGAACTAAGATTCTGCGTGCCACATGTCACAGCCAAAAAAAAAAAAAAGAAATTTATTCATACAGTTAAGAATAAAACATCAAATTTTTTTTCATTTAACATACCTTTTTATTGAAGTATAGTTGATTTGCAATGTTGTGTTAATTTCTGCTGTACAGCAAAATGACTCAGTTATACATACAGTTACCTTTTTTTTAATATTCTTTTCCATTATCATTTCTCACAGGATACTGAATATAGTTCCCTGTGCTATACAGTAAGATCTTCTTTCTACATCCTGTATATAATAGTTTGCATCTGCTAATCCCAAACTCCCACTCCATCCCTCCCCCCCACCCCACCCCCCCTTGGTAACCACAAGTCTGTTATCTATGTCTGTGAATCTGCTTCTGTTTCATAGATAAGTTCATTTGTGTTGTATTTTAGATTCCACATATAAGTGATATCATATGGAATTTTTCTTTCTGACTTACATCAGGTTTTATACTGTATGCATAAATTTTTTTCCCTCTGATTTTTCCTGTAATACTGTGGGGTAACTTCAGGCCATCTTCACGGCCGATGGTCGGGAGCACATCACAGAATGTTGAGGTTTATACAGAAAAAGACAACCATGAAGTTCTCAGCATGTCCCTTGGTGCATCTGAATGTGCAGCGGCCGTTGGGAATTACCTAAATGTGCTAGCCTCTGAGTGGCAGCAAGACAGCTTGACCCCTCTCCCTGAGTACTGGGTGCCTGTACCTGTGTCCTTCATGCCCTCAAACAACATCACCTCCCCTACCTTCAAAGCAGCTTCCCTTGCTAACTCCCATGTTTTCTGCTTCTGAGGACCATTTGGTCCTTAGAGTCCATCTTTGAGGCTCAGAACATCAGAGTGCTTTTAACTCTTTCCTCTTTCGCATCCCTGGCGAGCCAGGCATTATGTTTTAGTGGTGTGTCTTTTGGAGAGTCTCTCCAAGCCTTACCCTTAATATCTCTATTGCCTTAACCTGGTTTGTGTCATGGTGACTACATATCCAGAGTGTTTGGGACGCTTGCCAGACTTCATGCTTCCCAGCATCAACACAACCCATGCAGGTCTTTTAAAATATTGTGCTTGAAAATGGGGTGGATTAAGAATGAGACAGAGCCTTGAGCTGGAGGGCTCACATTCCAGTAAAGGGTATAGATATATGCAGATGTAATCGCATAACACAGAATCTTCTGCCTGATAAGTAAGAGGTGCTCAATAAATTAGCTTTAAATAAATGAACGTCCCAATAATATAGTCATCGTTCCAGTAGTTCAGGATGATAACTCAAGCCAAAAGGGAAGGTTTCAAAGGAAGATAGCAATTTGAAGGATGGATAGGATGTATGGAAATGCGAAGGAGGTGGGAGGGAATTCCAGGTGGGGGAATGGAGAGCCATGTTCAGAAATGGGGTTTTCATTGGAGAGTGCAGGGACCTGATAGCCAAACTGGGCTGGAAGGCTTCTCAGATGGGATCTGTGGAGGGGAAGCTGGAGTGCCAGGTGTGGAGGCCTTACATAGGGGGTTCAAACTCCAGGACGGTTGCACCAAGTGCCTACTTGATTCATCCAAAAGACAGTGGCACTTGAACTTTGGATGCCCTTTCTCATGCCCAGTGCATTTCTGGAGGCAATATACTGTTTTAAAATACAAGTCAGGGGGCTTCCCTGGTGGTGCAGTGGTTGAGGGTCCGCCTGCCGATGCAGGGGACACGGGTTCGTGCCCTGGTCTGGGAGGATCCCACGTGCCGCGGAGCGGCTGGGCCCGTGAGCCATGGCCGCTGGGCCTGCGCGTCCGGAGCCTGTGCTCCGCAACGGGAGAGGCCACAGCGGTAAGAGGCCCGCGTACCGCAAAAAAAAAAACAAGTCAGGATGTTAAATTTCTCTAGTGGCAGATGGCTTAGTAAGACTTCAGGGTTAGGCTGATTTTACCCTTGCTGTTCTTGATGCGTGCCTAGTCCTGAGAAAACATCCTCTAGAGGAGCAATGAGGTACAGTTTTAGGTACATGGGTCCAGATCCACAGGTTTCCATCTTTATTCTTTGAAACATGATTGACTTGTTATAGTTCAAGTCCTTTAGGACAAGGACTGTGCCTTATTCATTTCTCTGTTGCTGTGCCTACCACGGTACCTCAGAGCATTTGATGAACGTTTGTGGAATGCATTAAGTAAGTGAGTGAGCCGCTTAAAATTCACAACCATTTGGAATAGCAGTCATTTTAGAGGCCCGTGCCAGGTGTGGAGGCCTCGCATGGGGGTTCAAACATTCTTCATGCCTTACCATTCTACATTTTTGCACTTTTTCGTTTTTTTAAATCCGGGTGTCAGTTTTCCTGGAAATGTACAACTGTAGGAAAAAAGGATGAAATCACAAAGTGCATGTCAGAAAACGATCCAGGCTTCACATGCTTGCCATTCTCAGCTGGTCTTCTGCTCCACCCTCTGTGCTGAAAACAAAAAGGCAGTACCTCGCAGCCTGGTAGAAAACATCCACCCAAAGCATCCTGGCTCATCTCCCACCAGAACCTTCTCATCTTGTCCAAGACAATGTGGTTGTTAGTTTGGCTCTTTGGGTTTTATTTCTCATGTCCCTGACCTGTTGACGATGTTTGAGCAGTGGTGTCCATGTCACTGGGGACTGGAAACCAAGAGGATGTGGGCTGCCTCCCATGTGGATTTGCTTCTGCCTTGCTTGGCAAGAGGAGGCTGCAGGAGGGCTTGTTTGCCAAGTTCCCCACTCCTCTTACTTTGGCCTGTCATAATCCACCACCAACCAGACCCAGTTAAAGGAATAACAGTTCAAACAGAATTTTTTAAAGAGGGTAATATTTACTTTTTTATTCTTATGTATTTATTTATTTATTTATTGGCTGTGTTGGGTCTTCATAGCTGCGTGTGGGCTTTCTCTAGTTGCGACGAGCGGGGGCTACTCTTTGTTGAGGTGCGTAGGCTTATCATTGCAGTGGTTTCTCTTGTTGCGGAGCACAGGCTCCAGGCGCCCAGGCTTCAGTAGTTGTGGCACGTGGGTTCAGTAGTTGTGGTGCACGGGCTTAGTTGCTCCACGGAATGTGAGATCTTCCTGGACCAGGGATCGAACCCGTGTTCCCTGCATTGGTAGGTGGATTCTTAACCACTGCACCACCAGGGGAATCCAGTAATATTTGCTTTTTTCTTTTTTATTGAAGTATAGTTGACATACAATATTATGTTAGTTTCAGATGTACAACATAGTGATTTGCCATTTATGTACATTATGAATTGATCACCTTGATAAGTCTAGTAACCATCTGTCACCATACAAAGTTATTATAATAGTATTGACTAGGGACTATTTACTTGCTAAGCTGCAATTTTTACCATTGTCTTTATCTCTTTGGGTTCCCATACCAGCTCACATTATTACCCTGTGTTCTTCCTCGTGTATTGAAGCCAACAAACCCATTTCATCTCAAATATTGGCGCCACATCTACTCTCCCTATGATGTGAGAGCACCTGGCCCTTAGCTTTATGTCTCTAAGGGACTTTAAAACACACACAGGGAGCAAGTGTTGCTAGGATGGAATGAATCACAGGCGAGTCAGTACTTGACATTTTGCACCTTGTCACAATGTATTGTGTTTATAATGTTCATGTTAATCTTCTTAATTCATTGCAAGCTAGTTGAAAATAAGGACTGTGCCTGATTCATTTATATCCTCCATGACTCTGAGCACAATGCTGGCACCTTATAAGCCTTAAATAAATGTGAACTTATGAATCAGTGGGTGAGGTAATGATTGAAGGAAAGAATGAGTAAGTGAATGAGTGGTTAAATGAATAATTGAGAGGATGAATCAGTGATTAAGTGACTGTATATCAGCAGGCTATTAAAATGAGCTCCTTTTAAAATATAAAAGAGACTGGGAGATATGTGTCATATATAACCAGTTACTTTTATGTTTTCTTAAACAGAGAAAGCCTCGCTGCTCTCGTCTTATCCTTGGGGGTGAGATCATGTACGGTATAATCCACTTTATGGGTACATCACTGCTCTACTGGGTATGAACCAAAATAATTTCTTCCTAGTTCTAATTGCACTTATATCCCTTGTTTATTTGGGGGAGGTGGTGCAGCTCTTACACAGGATTTAATGTTTTATAAATAAATGACATTTCTCAAAATAGATGTCTACAAACTTGAGAACTTGATATAGCTGTGCATGAAACACAGAGCTAGAAATAAGTAGATGTGGCTCCGTTTCTAGGAGTGCTGTTCTTCTCTAGATAACCTGAGACACTTGACCTCCTCCAGCCTCTATTTCTTCACTTAGAGTATGGAGAGAGCATCAGGGGAGCCTAAATATAACTCAGCAGGAAATGCATCCGTCTCCAACTATGGAGTATTTTTGGCAGACTAAGAAGAGATAAAAAGAATGAAAAGTTGTTGAATTTGACTTTGAAGGGCTCAAAATCTGGAAAAATTCCCACACCGGAGCTTTAGTTCTGAACTTGCCCAGAACTTACACGTCATTAGTAAAGGATTAACAATTCTGTAAAAATGTTTTGAAAAGACTTTTGAAATGAAATGATAAAAATAATCATCTAAGAATTAATTAGCTATATGGAAGAAATATGTATAGGTTGAAAGTAATCTGCATCGGTTCAGTCATAACTTACTCTACAGTAAAATGATCCACCAGGCTCAGGGAACTCTGTGGGGAGGGAATTATTGTACTGCTTCCCTAAGACATTTGAGTGGTGAAAGCAGGGACCACAGGACTCCAGCCTCAGTGGGCTATTGATTGCAAGAAGCATACACAGAGGCTAAGGGCCAACTAGGTGGGTAGAAACAAGAAATGGATTGGGAGTCAGGAAACCTGGATTCAAGTTCTGCCTCTATGACTAAAAACAAATTAGATCTTGCCCTTGGCCGAGCCTTTATCTGCCTCCAGGAACTCAGGCTGACTGATTTCCAAAGCCCTGGATAGTTCTCTGAAAACTGCTCCCAGAATAAAAAGTAAAGCTGTCTTTGAAAAGCCCTGTTCCATCTCAACCTTCTTATATATAATTTTACCATTCTGAGGGCAAAGAATATGAGAAGGAAATGTAAAAAGACAGAGAAAGAATTGGAGGATGAGAGGAACACTGAGAAACTATTTGCGTTCTCTGAAAATTACAAAAGCAGAATTTCAGTTCCAAAGTCTCCATGGATAGAGTTGGAACCAGTCTACTCTGAAACCATTCACTCTGATGGTCTAGACCTAAGTAAGAGTGCCCTCCAAGGACCTTCACCTGGAAACATCTTGACCTTGAGTTCCCTCTCCAAGGGACCAGAAATATTTTCATTTGCATCAATGTGGTCTGTAATATGCATAGAACCAGATTATGATTTAGTGCTCAGTCAATAGCTATGAAGCAGAGAAACAGACTTGGCAGCAAAAGGTATTGCAAGGCAAGTTCCTGGAGAGTATCGAGCTGACTTTCATGTTTAAATACTTCAATTCCATAAATGTGAACTGAAAAGGAGTTCTATGTCTACACAAACCTTAGAAAGGCAGGTGGTATACCAGAATGAAGTCTGCAATGGGCTTTCTTGGGGTGGGGAACTTGTTCAGTTTGTGAAAGTAGACGGACTCCAAGAGAACGATGTTGTGAACTCAATCCATGGATGAGGATGGAGAGAAAAACGTGTTGAATGATTTGAAGCCTTGACTTCAAATTTTAAGTATGAAGTCCCAGAAGAACTTTCAGGCTTTAATATCTTATGTTGAGAGTTCAACTATCCAGGCTAAGTCTACAGCTGCAAGAATTACTATGGCCAATAAGGAGGGTGTTTCCCAACTGACTGACTCTCATTGCTAATATGGAATTAAGTTAAACACTGGGAAAATAGTGATTTGGTTTTATTCTATCCAATGAGATGCTAAAGATGTTAGGTAAGTTCCTTTCTTCCTAAAGTGGGGAGAAAAGTAACAGCTGCTTCCTGACTACTTTCAAGAACAGTGTTGGGAATGATAAAGACAATATGATGGCAGAAGCCTCACTTATGTTTACTTTTCTTTCCTTTTCAGCAACTACAGCTCTTCAGGATTTACCAGTATCTCATGCCAGATGTTGCTACTACCTTGATGGTCTGTTTAACAAGTAAGCTCTTTAGCAAAGTAAACCATATTAGTTGCATTTATCCATGAAATTCTAGAACTATTCATACAAATAAGAGGTTCTGACAATGACACATCTTAACTACCAAGACTTCATTACCTGTGAATTTTTTGAAAGTGGTGTTGGCAGTAAGTTGAGGCTTGAAGTCCTCAGACTTGGCGTTAATATGTCCTGATAGAAAATAGGTCTTAGCCTTACAAAATTGTCAATGCATTCTCAGTTCTTTGTAGGTTTGTGTCTTGTACAAAGAAAAATGTGCAAGAAATCCGGGAAGGGAAATCTTTGAAACCCAAAGGTCATTTTCCATTATTCAGCTATGCTTCACATTGACTTGAAACCAGACTTTTTCTAGGTCTTTGACGTTTGAGAACAAATGCTAGCGCTTTACTGTAGTGGAATTCTCTCAAAAGCAAGGTGCGGCTCACAGCAGTTATTGCTTATTTCCTTCCTTTGAGATGACACTGATAAAGTATTTCCTACCAAGGAACTCAGAGCTTGATACTAACTCTTAGTAAGTGAGAAAGGTGACTGCCTCAACAGAGAGCAAAGAAAAAGAATGATATACTCACCTCCTTTTCCTTGTTCAACAAATGAAGTGTTACGAAAAAAACCAGATAAAACATGCAGCAATGCAGGATATTAACAACCTTGAGAACTTCATGTAGCATCTTTTTTTTTTATAAGCAGATATTCATTTTTAATTATTATTTATTTATTTATTTGTTTTTGGCTGTGTTGGGTCTTCGTTTCTGTGTGAGGGCTTTCTCCAGTTGCAGCAAGCGGGGGCCCCTCTTCATCGCGGTGCGCGGGCCTCTCACTATCGTGGCCTCTCTTGTTGTGGAGCACAGGCTCCAGACACGCAGGCTCAGTAGTTGTGGCTCACGGGCTCTAGAGCGCAGGCTCGGTAGCTGTGGCTCACGGGCCTAGTTGCTCCGCCTCATGTGGGATCTTCCCAGACCAGGGCTCGAACCCATGTCCCCTGCATCGGCAGGCAGATTCTCAACCACTGCACCACCAGGGAAGCCCCATGTAGCATCTTAGAAACATGAAAGTGATATTGAGGTCATATATTATATTAACCCAATGACAAAATTTACCAGTGTCAGGGATGTAAGTAATATCAATTTTGATTCTTAGGGTTGAAATGTCTATTTATAGCCCTCTAAAATATTTTCTATGTGTTATTAATATTCACGTGACTGGATAATTTTGAATCCTTGACATTGCTTCTAGAATGTTTGCTGTTTTTTAAAGGAGTTTGCATGATTTACTTGTGAAGATGGACAATGATGTTAAAAAGAAAAAAAGAATACCAGGATGTTCCAAGAGATACGCTAGCAGGCAGTAGCGTGAAAGTGAAGGCCACGGCCATCCTCTACCACGTCCTATCTCTGCAACCTTTGGGAAATTATTTACTAAATAAATAATTGACTCATATGAAAGGTCCTTATAAGGTTGTGAGGATCAGATAACATACCACATGTAAAGTGTATAGTACAGTGCATCACACCCTGTAAGCCCTCATTACAAGATGAATGATATTGTGCTACACCCATCCTTTTTGTCTTTTTTTTTTTGAGATGACTGACTAATTTGGTGAGCCCTTGAAAAGACTTAGCCTGTGTACAAGTAGATTGATTGGAAATTCAAAAACATGGGTGGTAGCCTTGCCACAGAATTGCCAGATGACCTTGAGCAAGTTGGTCTGAGCTTTTGCACACTTAATTCCATGATACTGGTTATGAATTTGACTCCCAAGGTAATGGGTATACTTTATGCTTTCCCATGGCAATAGCCTGCTGACTCTCATGCCAGTTGGTCATTCTGGGAAACTTACCCTCTCATCTCAGAGCGAGTTTGGTGGGAGAGTTTGGATGACTCAGGGCAGGACCACTGTTACCAGCGGGAGAGAAAAGTCTCAGAAGGGTGATAGATCAGAAGCATAGTGTTCTATTTGAATGACAGCACTTTATCAATTATTATTCAACAAATGTGTAGCTGTCTAAGTAAATGGTGAAGGTGAAAAAAGAGGGTGGAAACTGCTATCTTTGTTTGTTTTTACCACCTGTCTTCAAACACTATTGCTTTCCCATCCCTGCAAGTTCAGTCATCCTACAGGCAGATCATTTCCTGGTCAATTCTAGGTATTCAAATGACATCATCTTTAGATATAAGAAGTCCAGGTATTATAAATTAACATTTCATGTTTTCATCCAATGCAAAGTTTTCTTCCCCAGATGAAGCCTGACCTATGGCTTGGAGCAGGCAGTGGGAGAGAAGGCCATGGTCTCTATTTTCCTTTGTTTTCTACTTTCACCCCTGCTTCAGCAAATATAAGCGGCAGGACCCCAGGACTTTTTGCTTAAGTGGGGGTACTCTAGTTCTCTCCTGTCAAGTGCCCTCTAACAGGGTAAGCGTCTAAACTCAGGCACTTTGCATGGGGCTCACTGGTGAGTTCTTGAGTTCTTCAGAGATTCCCAGTCCAGCGCTCTAGACTAGACCACGTCCTGACATGTGTGGCGCTCTCTCCTCTGACCCCTCAGGATTTCTTTCAGGATCTGCCTTCTAGTGGTACATATCACAAAGCCTTTTTCTTCTGCTGGGCCTTCTAACCTCAGCTGAACAGTCCACTGGGCAGATTCCTTCCAAGATAGCTCTAGCCTGGCTAATTTCCATCCCTTCTACTTGATGTACCAGATAGTAGATGTGTAGCTTGTTCTCACTGCTGCCCCTTCTCTCTTCCCTTTGATATTACAGGACGGGGAATGAGAGCCATTCTCCACCCTTGCCACTTCAGGTCTCTCCTGGAGTGGTTTTTATGACCTCCTTTCATTTGTGTTGTGATGTTGGGAAGAAAACCACAGTTCTTGCTTCTCCTAACAATTCCCGTTAAAGAATCTCTTGATCATCTCCATGGTTTACTCTTATATAGTCTGTACATAGGTAACTGGGGGAGGGGGGATGGCATGCTTACAGTTGAAGGACCAGTGTGGATCCCTCTTGGTAGGTACTATGGAGATATGGTAGTCATCTTTCTTTACATTAAATTGGCACTTACCTCTCACTGTCCTCAAATATGAGGCTCAGCAAAATTCCCCAGACAAGAGGAAAATCTCCATTCAACCTCCTCTTAGAAGTGTTCATCTCCTACTATGTGTTACGCACATTAAGTACCTGGGCATTAAAAGGCTGATCACTGATGTATAGAGTTTAGTGGAGGATTCACATACATGAATGGATGAAATACAAGTCAAAAATAGTGAGTACCAGAAAACAGCAGATGCTTTTGGAGTTTGGAAAAAGGGGATATTGTTTCTGATGATCTGCAGTTAAGGAGGAGATGGCAATGTAGAAAAGAGAGATACTGGGATGGTTTCATGGAAGAAGTAGCATTTGCACCAAAATAGGAAGGGTGAAAAGATTTCAAATATCTTTTACCAAAAGAAGGGCATTTCAAGTAGAAGGAAGCAGTATGAGCAAGAGAGAACTGATAAATATAGGGGGTGAGTTTTTCAATTTGACCACACTGTAGGGTATGTGGAAAAAAACAGCAGGAGATAAAATCTGACGAAGTAGGTTGGGTCAGATCACAGAATCTTGACTGACAGGCTGATAACTGTGGACATTTATCTGCAGACATTAAGAGTCATTGATGATTGGACGATCAATGTAAAATCACTCTCACCATGGCATCTATATTTCCAGGTTCCCCAGTTAGGACTTTGAACCTAAGCCTGAATTAGTATGGGACAACGAAAATGCCATAACATTAAGCTAAGTGAAATAAGCCAGAGAAAGATAAATACTGTCACTTTTATGTGGAATCTAAAAAATATAACAAATTAGTGAACATAACAAAAAAGAAGCAGACTCAGATAGAGAGAACAAACTAGTGGTTACCAGTGGGGAGGGTGGGGACGGGCACTAAAGGGGTTGGGGTACAAACTATTGGGTGTAAGACTACAAGGGTATATTGTACAGCATGGGAAATATAGCCAATATTTTGTAATGACTGTAAATGGAGTGTAACCTTTAAAAATTGCATAAAATTTTTAAAAAATTAATTTAAAAAACCATAATGAAATAAATCTACCTAGTACATTCTCTTAGAGAATGTTTAAAAAAAAGACAATTCTATCACATTATTTATTTATTTACTTGCTTATCTATCCACACCTTGCCTTGTTCCCACAAGATTTTATTTTATTTTATTTTATTTGTTTTTTTAACATCTTTTTTGGAGTATAATTGCTTTACAGTGGTGTGATAGTTTCTGCTTTATAACAAAGTGAATCAGCCATACATATACATATATCCCCATATCCCCGCCCTCTGTGTCTCCCTCCCACCCTCCCTATCCCACCCCTCTAGGTGGTCACAAAGCACCGAGCTGATCTCCCTGTGCTATGCAGCTGCTTCCTGTTAGCTGTCTATTTTACATTTGGTAGTATTTATAAGTCCATGCCAGTCTCTCACTTCGTCCCAGCTTACCCTTCCCCCTCCCCATGTCCTCAAGTCCATTCTCTACGTTTGAGTCTTTATTCCTGTCCTGCCCCTAGGTTCTTCAGAACCTTTTTTTTTTCTTTTTTATATTCCATACATATGTGTTAGGATACGGTATTTGTTCTTCCCTTTCTGACTTACTTCACTCAGTATGACAGACTCTAGGTCCATCCACCTCACTACAAATAACTCAATTTCGTTTCTTTTTATGGCTGAGTTATATTCCATTGTATATATGTGCCACATCTTCTTTATCCATTCATCCGACGATGGACACTTAGGTTGCTTCCATGTCCTGGCTATTGTAAATAGAGCTGCAATGAACATTGTGGTACATGACTCTTTTTGAATTATGGTTTTCTCAGGGTATATGCCCAGTAGTGGGATTGCTGGGTCATATGGTAGTTCTATTTGTAGTTTTTGAAGGAACCTCCATACTGTTCTCCATAGTGGCTGTATCAACTCACATTCCCACCAAC